AACTGGTAGGCTATATCTAACGTTAAATAAATTACCTTATGAATAATGTTCTTTGCAGGTTGCTGGAAATCAAGATGGCATAACTGCATTTCAGATGGATATAAAGGTCACTGTTCATATACTATTCTTATCCCTTTTTGGATAGTAATCATGTTTCCTCTGGCGACAACAAAACCTTTGCACTTAAATCTGCCATCCTGGCTCTAATTATTACTGATTTGAGTTTCCTGTCCTTTTGTCAGTTATAGATTATAATAGGTAGGAGGGATCTCCTTACCTATTATGAGAGAGGCACTCCTACAGGCAAGGGACGGCCGCAGACATGTTCTTGGTAATGTGAACCTGTGTACTTTTGAACCCTTAAACCTTCGTGAGTTAATTGTTGAGCCATTACAATGTCTAAAAGAGAAAAGAGTAGGGATAACCTAGTTTAGAACTTCTAGCATGGCTCTTACGCATTGAATATTGTTGGATGGCACATTGATGTATTTAATTGTATGTTCATTTGTATACAACATGGAGTTGCTTCCTGACCCCTTTTCTCTTTCCCTATATGTTATATCTTATTAAGAGTGTCTTAGCTAATGTTAACTTGCTTTCTTATACATGTTCATAATGAATTGGGTTTTATTTATATGCTGAGCCACAATTACTTTAAATCTGTACTTGTATTCTTCAGTCTCAAATATATATCAGAAATGTACATGGCTTGAGTTTCTAACCATGGATGGTAGCATGCCAACCATATATTGCCTTGTGCAACATGTATTCTTTTTTCGAGATTAATGGCCCATTTGGATTGCCTTTTTGGTTATCAATCGCAGATAAATAAGCTTGTTTTTTATTTCCTTGGGGTGGAGAGTGCTGTGTGATTATTGGCATGCTCTATCTGTAGAAATGCTATCCAAGAAATTAGAGAAATGTTTGTTTTGTCATTTTTTAAACTAATTTCTTTTTTTTTTTCTTTCATATGCTCTTGTTCTTGATTGAACACTTTAGCTGAAATGTTGAAATGCTTACCTACCCTGCAAAAAGACTCTCTAAGTGTGCTCCACTTATTCACATCCTGAAGGTCTGTTGATCTTAGACCCGTCCTTTTATGCGGTTCATGATAACTGATGATCTGCAGTATCTAATGTGTTCTATGCCCTTTACAATATCATTTCAAGTCGCTTCAGAGAAAGTTGACATTATTATTGGTTCTGGTGGGAAGAAGGTGAAAAGCGTTATTGAAGAAACTGGCGTAAAGGCTATTGACGCACAAGATGATGGAATTGTAAGATCATACACGACCTTACTTTTCATTGAAGTGACATGATTATTTCACAACACAAGGTTTACTTATCTATTTTTTTTGCAGGTAAAAATCACTGCAAAGGTTTTGTCAAGTCTGGAGAAGTCCAAATCTATTATTAGCAATCTGACAATGGTTCCGACTGTTGGTGATATTTATAGGTATCTCTTTCATTGACCATTTCATTTTCCTCTCCCTTAAATTTTCTATCATTATCCTGTAGTAAAGATATCTTAAAAGTACACACAGGAGATGTGCACAATAGAGGCTGAAGCATTATTTTTGTTTGTCAAAGTACATGTGTCTGATTCTTGCTGTGGGCCTTGTGAACCTGTTTCACTGAGACTGATTGTCTCCCAGACAAAACTTTGGCAAATGTTACAAATTCTTATGGGGAGGTTAGGGAACCAACTGTTGGTCGTGCTTTTGTGTGCTTGGGACCCCACTTGAATGTTGTGTATCTGTTGCCTCCTAGAAATTACCTTCGTAAAGTCACTAATGCTACTATTTAATGTAGGAAACAAATTCTAAGTTCTGTTCTCTATACCTGGAAAGTGTAGCCTTTCTTGTTTGTACTTGTTGCTTGTTAATATGAAGTTGAGTCTCTGTCATCTTTTTAATCAGGAATTGTGAGATCAAGTCAATAGCTCCATACGGAGTTTTTGTTGAGATAGCTCCAGGGCGTGAGGTACATATTTTTATCCTGAAAAAAATGCACAATTTTTGAAAAATCTTGATGATTCTGCTATCACCTTACTTTTAAGTTTTGGTAATATAAACTTTTGGTTTTACATATAAAGTTTTTCCTTTGCTTTAAGTCACATTTCCTTTTTTTTTTATTTCTGTACATAATTATTGTTACTATTTCTGCTAACTCATAAGATGAGGATGACAACTCTTATCAAAGTTTTTTTATCTGTGCACTATTAGTTACACAGAGCTCATGACTTTTCTTCTCACAATAAAATAATTATGAATAGAAGTGGTTGACTCAATTGAAATATTGAATTAAGTGTCCTGTGGTGTATGAAGTACTAAAAAATTTATTAAGGAATATGTCTGAGATTTCTAAATAATGAGGAAGAAAGAAAGATTGAAATATGTGATAAAATTTCCCGTCCCAATTTCTTTTATCCTCAACTTAAAGATGAGTTGATCACTATGAACTTATTATTATTGTTATGATTTTGTGCCATTGTAGGCTTTTAAAGTTGGTGATCATGTTGATGTTAAACTTATTGAGGTAAGAATCTTAGTTTTGTCTTGTCATTAAGCTTATATTCCATCATAAACTAAATATGGTAAATGTAATCCCAATAAATTGATTTATCCTTGCAGTTTTGTGCTGGGTTCCTGCTATTCTTCACTTTGTGTCAAAAACTTGATATTCTATGCATTTTGGTGCTGGCTTTCTAATATGCTATATGCTTTACTCTAAACTAAGGTTCTTTTGATTCTGATGTTTTAGCCATTATTTATTGCCATGTTCGCGCAATACTCATCCCATCTATTGGCTTGAGCTACATAGTAGTACTATGTATGTTAAATAAATGATCAATGAGTTGTAAAAGTGGCTTCAAATTTTTTATCCTTCTGTTAATCTGGTAATTCCATCAAAGAGCTAGATTGTGACAGAATTCTTATTCGTCTTCGTTCTCTGCTCTTTTTCCTTTCTTCATTGAAAATTTGTCCATTAACTGTGTCATCTAATCCAGGTTCATGATAAGGGACAACTTCACCTTAGCCGCCGTGCACTTCTTCCTGTTCCTGAAACAAATCCAGAGGAATCCAGTTCTAAGCAGCTTACTGGCAGCCCAGCTGAAGTTATTGCTGATTCCGGTAAAACATCGGACAAAAACAAAAGTACACCAAAAAAATCTGTGAACGTCGCCAAAGCAGAAGCTTTAGCTGAAGAGAAGATTGAACAACCCAAAGATAAAAGTAGTGACACCAAACTTGCAAGCTTGCTCCAAAGTGATTCTTCAGAGAACACTCTACTGCCACAAAAGAAGGTTTTCAAGAGAATAAGGAAGAGCAGCAGTAAAGTTGTCACTGGCGTCTTTGGCAAAGAGGGAGGGTAACCAATAATTGAATGGAGGTATAATTGTGCTTATAATATGCCGACAATATTTTTTTTTGGTCTCCAATGATGCAATGACCGTTGTGAGGAAGGTGACAGAATAACTTCCTCACTTAGAAGACACAGAGGTATGGCAACCTACTTTATTCTGTTCTCTCTCTCTCTCTCACTAAACATGCATTTTTAAAGCGGATATCGCTATAAAAAACCACTAGAAAAGCATCTTTCCAATCTTGCTAGTTGCGTGTAGTTTGTAAAAGCTCTGTTCCTTTATCCGTGGTTTGCTATGGACTTATAGTTGCTAATTGGGTAAGTTTTTAAATTGCCTATGATGAGGTAGCTTACAAATTGAGCATGTGACATTAATTATTACTAGAAAAGAAGGAAAAGGCAACGAACATTTCCATGGGTACAATGCCTGCGTTGTCTCAAACAGATGAAACGGTTCTAGAACCTCAGTACTAGTAAATTCATTGAATGGAATGGCTACCGGATGCCCGTCATCCAAGTAGGTTTAAATGGCATGCAGCTAAGCTCTGTTGTGTACCTCTTGTGAATTGGCTAATATTTGATTCCTTGACAGGCACATTCATCCTAACATAACCGGAAGCCTGCACTTGGTCTGTTAAAAATGATTGCAGAGGCGGCCGAACCTAATGATGTTGCTTCCACATAACATGTTTATCCAAGGCAAAGGCAGATAAACTTAACACAGCTCAAGTTTGGTGCAGTGAAAACCATTCTGCTAGATGCTTAGAAAGTTTTGATGTAAAGATTTTATGCTCTACCCCTGCTTTTTTTTTTTTGTTTGCTTCCCATTTTTGTGTGCATAACTTCTTGAATTCTTTCAGCAATGGCCCTTGTATATTTTTTATTGCACCATTGTTTTATAGGTCATTGTTCTTCCGTTTGAAGTCAATTTTTTAAGGTATATTTATTTAGTTTATCTTGTTTTTTACAAGTGCGTTTGGTAGCATAGGAAGTACAGACTGCATCCCTATTTTTCATTAATCCGTACTACCATATAGCTCTAGCAATAATATTTCCGCTTTTTTTTTAATTTATTAGATAATAACAATAAGTTTCAGTCATCTGGATCTGTAAATTAGAAAGTAAATTTTGAATTATTTTAAAATAATTACAAAGACAAAAAACTTTTAGTAGTAAATGGTTCATAATTTAAATAATAATAGTTTAGTTTGATTTGTCAGTAATATAGTTTAACAAGTTTCCCTAATAAAAATAATAAGAATAGTTTTGTAAATACAAAACTATTCTTATTATTTTTATTTAATTTTCATGTAGAATTAATTGATTTCTCATGTCTTTAGGAACTAGAAACTCAGAATTACTTTATTTTTCATAATAATGTATATGAGCTTATATTAATATTAATTTTATGAATATCTACATTTTATATTGTTTATTTATGAATATAACATCTAAATGTTTCAATTAAAACATACTGTATTAAAAAATTTTCATTCACCATTATTATTATTATTATTATTATTTTGTTTTTGCAGATTACAAAGCCCAACTTTTTTTTTTTTGGGTGCAGCCCAACTATGTTTTCTACCTATATAAAACCCTCCTCTCTCACTCTTTGCTCTTCTTTCCCGCCACTTTGTCTTTTGTTGTTTCTCATTTTCTTTTCACTCAGATAAGCAAAAGTTTCTTGAAAGATGTTGTGGGTTGATAAATACCGACCCAAAACCCTAGACCAAGCTATGGTTCATCAAGACATTGCCCTAAATCTAAAAAAACTGGTAACCCTCTTCTTCTTTTTTACTTCTTTAAAAGTTTCCTTTTTAATATTAAGTGCCTATTTTTTTTCCTTTCTTCTTTTTAATTGTTCTAATTTGATGGGTTTTTTTTTTTCTTGAATTAAACAGGTTGCAGAGCAAGATTGCCCACATTTACTTTTCTATGGGCCATCTGGGTCTGGCAAGAAAACCCTAATCATGGCTCTTCTTAGACAGATCTTTGGTCCCAGTGCTGAAAAGGTCTAATTTTCTCTCTCTTTTTTTGGCAATTTTTTCATTTTTTTAACCCTTAGACTCGATTCAGGAATTTTGTTTTTACAAATGGTTTGTTAAGAAGGGAAAGTTTTAATTACTATGATAAATTTGGTTTTTTTTTTTTTATTTCTTTACTTATTTAATTTGGGGCCCTTTAATTGTTGTGGATTTGGTACCAAAAAAAAAAAGAAAAATGGAAAATTGAGCTTGTATTTCCTTATATCTTCTTGACTTTTGAGTTGGGTTTTTTTTTCATAGAGTTAAGGAGGAAGTTCACTGAGTTGTTTTCAATTGGATTAATTATATTTTTGGTCTTTTTGTTATTTAACTTAGAAAAATCATTTTGTTTATTTGATTGCAGGTGAAAGTGGAGAATAGGAATTGGAAAATTGATGTAAGTTTCAAAGGATTATGTAATTTTCATATCAAAATTTTGAGATATAATGCCATGTAATATTCTGCTCTATGCACTTTCCATGGATAAAATTTTCAATTAAGCTTTCATTGTAAAAATAAGAATTTCGAATGATGACTTGCATATAAGAGCACTGAATTTGACTTTTTCATGTCCCTGATCTATCAAAGTTATGTGGAAGCATTCTTTTGTCCTCAATGTTTAAGAGATCTTTATAATTGATTTTACATGTAAAATTATTAACTTTGTATGCTATAATGGAGCTTATTGTTTTATTGAGCATATATGATTCATTATTGGTTGAATTGTTGCCCTTTTTTTCCCTCTCTGCTCTGTAACTAAAATGTCCTCTTATTGTAATTTTATTTCAGGCTGGAAATAGAACCATTGATCTGGAGTTGACCACATTATCAAGCACCAACCATGTGGAGTTGAGTCCAAGCGATGTAGGCTTTCAGGACAGATATATAGTTCAAGAGATAATTAAAGAAATGGCTAAAAATAGGCCAATTGACACCAAAGGGAAAAAAGGATATAAAGGTAATTCTGATATTACTTTCTTTCCAACATAACAAATTCTAGTTAGGAGCATGACTCTCTTTTACAATTCAGTTATAAAACATGTCTTCCAAATGGCATTGCATTTGTATCTTTAGTGTTAGTTTTCTGGATTTAACATTCATTGGCCTTGTCCTTTATGTTTATAATTTCTATTCGTTATTCTTCTTGATGCTTATTTCAAGTTGGTAGATTTCTATATCTGTTTGAAATTTGGATAATTGCATATGAGTTAACTGTTTTACTCACATGATCTCCTATGAGTGTCAGTGCTAGTACTCAATGAAGTTGACAAGCTTTCGAGAGAAGCCCAGCATTCTCTCCGTAGAACAATGGAGAAGTATAGTGCTTCTTGCCGGCTAATTTTGTGCTGTAATAGTTCTTCAAAAGTCACTGAGGCAATTCGGTCTCGTTGTCTGAATATCCGAATAAATGCACCTTCAGAAGAACAGGTTGGGAAAGTTCAATATTTTCGATTAATTAACATTCGAAAGAATACATAGATAAATACCTAGAAACATTCCTTCAACTCTTTGTCCACCAAACCTTGTAATGGACTGTCACCAAAAAGAACTATGATGTTTATATGAATATTATTTTCCAAGAAGAAATCTTTATTCTCTCCCTGTCTGGCTGGTTGTTGGTGAATTGACTTTATTTCTGTAAAATTCTCCATGCCAGATCATTAAGGTGTTGGAGTTCATTGGAAAGAAAGAAGGGCTGCAACTTCCATCTGGTTTTGCAGCCCGCATTGCAGAAAAGTCAAACCGGAGTTTAAGGAGAGCTATTTTGTCATTTGAGACTTGCCGTGTTCAACAGTTAAGCTTAGTGTTATTTTTTAGATAAATCCTTCTGTCATGCAAATCAATGCACTAAACTTCCTTACATCTGTCTTTTTGTACCATATTCCTTAATATAGGTACCCTTTTACAAGCAAACAAGCAATTCCGCCAATGGATTGGGAGGAATATATATCTGAAATAGCAACTGACATAATGAAAGAGCAGAGCCCTAAAAGGTTTCGGCTGCAGCATCTTACACTATCTTATTTTTCTATTAGTAAAATTGCTGCAACAATTACATCATTCTTTTCAATACCCATCTGGTAATGAGTTAGTTAATTATTTAATGTGTGTTAGCCACTGCCAAAGTTATTGTGGGGAAGATGTATAGGGTAGTATGACTGGAAAGTGAATTGGGACATAAAATGTTTTTTATAGTATCTATTTAAGTATCCAGCTTCAAGCTTTCTTATTAAACCTTTTCTGTGTTCTTTAGGCTGTTTCAGGTTAGAGGGAAGGTGTATGAATTGCTTGTTAATTGTATCCCTCCCGAGATTGTCTTGAAGGTAAATACAGCCCAATGCCATGTTGTAGTCTGGTACCTTTCTCCAATTAAAGTATATTTCCTTGCTGTCTCAGAGGCTCCTTCATGAATTATTAAAGAAATTGGATGCAGAGCTAAAGCATGAGGTGTGCCATTGGGCTGCATATTATGTAAGTTCAATAATCTGTCCTATCTTTTATGACCAGGCAGTCTGTATTAACTCCCTAGCCATCATTAGATTTATTTTTTCATTTGGTTAAATTATGACTGATTATCATGTGCTTCATGGAAAATAATCATTAGCATATTGATCTTAATTCTCAGCTCAATTCTTTGGTCTTAAAACCTAGCCAATCTTCTCACAAATCCTTCAGCTGCTTCCCTCTATTTTGCAAACCTCCAAATTAAATAATGAAGGAAAAAGAAGAATGTCATAGATTGATCAAACATCTGTACTATTATTTAATTAAATTTTTTAACAAATTGGGTAGAACTTTAAAGAATCATCTAATTTACTTGCATGACGCATAGTCCACCAAAAGTTCTTATTTCTCACTGGTGCAAATTGAAATGGATTATGCTTTTGGTGGAAGAAATTCTCAAATTCTTAGAGCCAAGGGAGTTTGATGTAAAATGGATGCTTAGTTTTAAGTTGAAGGCATCATGTCTATCAATAGCGGATCACAACCAAGCCATGAGCTGATTGGTAGAAATTTTCAATTAATTATCAAATGAGTGATAATTCTACAGTTTTGTGGTAAATTTCAGCATATGCTGGTGGTGAGGTTAAGGTAAGATGTTTTTAGGGTGATCAGATCTGATTTATGTCTATGGAATGCTGAAAGTCATAGGCATCACCTTGCTTAATATAAAAAAAATAATGCTGAATTTAGCTCTAGCTCTATTTTATTTGTACTAATATCTTGACTATTCAATTTCGTAAAATTTCACAGGAGCATAGGATGCGTCTTGGACAGAAAGCCATCTTTCATATTGAAGGTACAGAAAATCTTCGTTTTGGGATTGACTCAGCACTTAATTGTCTTTTGGAATTGGGAAAAATTTTTGTGAGTCAGAGGAAACATTCCTCCATTTTCCTACAAATGAATATCTTAGTGGACTGTGATCATTTAACTGAGGGTGGGTATAAAATGAGATTCGGATGGGGCTAGCATACTCTTATTTACTAAAGGTTTACCTCGATCAATGACAGATAAATGGTCATGGCCAAGACAAAAAAACCCTTTGAAGGTTTCTTGGGCTAGTGGTCATCTATTAATCCTGAGCTGTTGAAATCAATTTTGACATTCTTTCAATGATATGTGACCTATATTTATATTCTAATGTCAATATTTGGTGACAGAGTTGGCTGCTAAAATATTTCACTTGCATGACATTATGCTTCTCTCCTTTCTAAGGCATTGCTTGACAATGTGCTTTGCAGTGTAGATTTTGCTAGTCAATTTCATTCATTGTTGTTTTTCTGATTAATTTTGTAGCTTTTGTTGCCAAGTTCATGAGCATTTACAAAGCTTTCCTGATTGCCACATTTGGCTGAAGAATAAAACCAGCATCGTCGCCTTTTACTCGTTTAGCGATGCAAGAAGGCGCCATTTCCCAGAATCCGATTATAAGTTTCCGGCTCCTCTGTTAGTCGGCTTGTTATTTGTTCATAAAATATGTATGGCCTGTTAGCTTCTTGTAATGACTAATGAGCAGGATTTTAAGTTGTACTTTTAGTTGTCTTCTCTACTAGCAATTGCATATGGCCTTCACTCTTTAGTGACCTTTTTTCAGTTATATTTTTTCTTCTCCATGGACGTAATTTACAGCAAATGAAACTGATCACTGCTGACTATAATAATTTAGAGGAGCAAGGACTAACATGCAAAATCAATGAAATTTCAAATAAGAGTAATATACAATATATAATTCATAATAGGAGACATGGAATACTTCAAGTTTATTTGATTCATTGTTTGGATTACAATAATAAAAAATATTTCATTATTATGTAAAGAAAAAAACAAAATACCTAATAATTTTCCTAATTCATAGTTAATAAAATTATTAATTTTTTTTATTCACATGAATGTCTGGATTGAGAAAAAAAATTTAAGTAAAAGGTTTTTTTTTAAAAAATATAATATTTAACAAATTTAAATTTTAAATCAATATTTATAATTTTTTCTTTTATATTTGGATCGAGACTTTTTTAAACTAAAAAAATAAAGAAAGATCTCTTTTGCAGTAAAATTATTAAGTTCTACTACCTCTATCGTTGTATATAATTTATATTTTACTAACATAACGTTAAATTTTAGTTAATTGAAAATATTTAACCATTATTTTAATATCAATTTTCTATGTAATTGAAGATGTTTAATTATTAATTTGACATCAATAAAAATTTCAATAATTAATTATTTGTTTGAAAAAGTAGCATTTTCTATTGTTGTGATCTAAATATTATATTGGTCAAAACTTTATATACATGAAGATTGAAGAGTATGAATAGGTTGTTACATTTAAAAGTTGATTTATTAAAAAAATTAATCTTACTAAAAGCTTTTATAAAAATGTAATAAGCTGATATAACTTTGACCTCTTATTTTCAATAAAAATTTTAAATATTTATGAAATATTTCTTACAACATTATTCACAAAAATAGTTTAATGAGTTTTAACATTTTACGTACATCTTTAATCCTAAAAATTGGAATTAAGACTTTTAAATCAAATTCTCAAATTTTACAATAAAAAACTAATGATTTTAAAAGTTAATTTCATTAATAATTAAATAATGTTTTCTATAACAAAAATTATTTTTAACATTAATGTTTATAATTAATATAAAACTAATGATTATTTATATTTAAAAATAAAGGGTATTAAGGTAATTTAGATAAAAGCAGGTTTCAATTTTTATATTATTTATATTTATATTTTTTCATGGTCGAATCCTTTCTCTTTTGAAGAAGCTCTCCTTCAGGTAATTGGAATTCACGATTTCGATCATTAATTTTTGTCGGAATATCTTACTTTTTCTTTTTTTTATTATTGTTTTGTTCGATTGCTTTCTTGTTTTCATCTCGAGTTGGCTGTTTGGTTACTAAGAAAACGTAGGAAAACCAGAAAGAAGAGGGGAAAAATGTCGGTCACGGCAGGTGTTAGTGATACTGTAATAGCAATTAGGGATAAACTTAGAGGCAAAATTGGACAAACGAAAGTTAAAAGATATTGGCCTGGGAAAGCTCCTGAATGGGCTGATGATGCCGATGAAGATGGCGATATTAGGATGGGTAGGGCTGTTGCTTTAGAAAAAGCTTTTCCTAGTCATGACGATTCGGGTATTGTTACAAAAGACGATCCTAGGTTACGTCGTTTGGCTGAGAGTAAGATTGATAATAGGGATGAAATTAGGGCTGCTCATAGACGTATTAGGCAAGCGGAGATTGTGTCGACGGAAGAGGAGGAAAATAGGAGGAATGAAGGGGTGGAGGCTGAGGAAGAAGATGAGGATGCGCTGGACGAGAGGAGGAGAAGGATTAGGGAGAAGATGCTTCAGATGAAACAAGAGGAAACGCCATTGTTGGAGGAGGAGGAGGAAGAGGAAGTGGAGGAAGAAGAGGAGGAAGAGTCGGAGTATGAGACCGATTCAGAAGAGGAGCATATGGGGATTCCAATGATGAAGGCGGTTTATGTGCCCAAGTCAGAGAGAGAGACGATAGCTGAGCGTAAACGGCTGGAGGCTGAAGAACGGGCTATTAAGGAAGCAGAGAAGAGGAAGTTGGAACATAGGAAGATTGAGACAAGGCAAATTGTGGTTGAGAAGATTAGGGAGGATACAGAAATTCAGAAGAATATGGAGGCAGAGGCAAATGTAGTTGATGTGGATACTGATGATGAGGTTAATGAGGCAGAGGAGTATGAAGCTTGGAAGGCAAGAGAGATTGCTAGGATTAAGAGAGATAGAGAAGAAAGGGAAGCAATGATAAAGGAGAGGGAGGAGATTGAGAAGGTTAGGAATATGACAGAGGAAGAGAGGCGGGAATGGGACAGGAAGAATCCGAAACCTGCTCCACCACCTAAACAAAAGTGGAAGTTTATGCAGAAATATTACCACAAGGGTGCTTTCTACCAGACGGAAGTTGATGATCCTGCTGCAACCGCTGGAGCGGACAGTATTTTTCAACGTGATTTCTCTGCCCCGACAGGTGACGACAATATGGACAAGACAATATTGCCTAAGGTCATGCAGGTCAAGCATTTTGGTCGTAGTGGCAGAACCAAATGGACACATCTCGTTAATGAGGATACAACTGATTGGAACAATCCGTACGTTCTCTAAGTTTTTTTTCTCTGAAATTATATACTAACTCTTGGCTTCTAACTTTGCACAAGAAGTCACTGTTCGGTACTTCCTTTTTAGTCATTTTTATCTTTGGTGGCATATAATTTGTTGAATTTTCCATAAGCATTTTATATCAACTAAAGAACACGCTTACTGTGAACAATATCGATAAATATAATTTATTACTTGAAGGATAAAATGTTAACTTTTAGTAACTAAAGCTTGTTTCTACTGAGGCAAAGCTAAGAAACTGGTTGTATTTGACGATTTTTGTATTCTAATTTTCATGTTTTATCTGAGATGTTCTGGATTTATTAGGTGACAATTTCCTAGAAGCATATTATTGGCTTCTTTCTACTTGCAATTTCAATATTGTATCCATCTCTTACAGAGTATTAATCTACTTCTGTTGGATTTCTTTATGCTCCATATTGATGGACACTTCTTGCCTTAAATTGCACTATTTTGTACAATGCTAGTGAACATGCATGGAGTAAATTACCTTAGTTTCTGTCCTGATCATCTGAACTGAAATTCAGCACGCCATAAGTTGAATAGTATAATTAGTAAAAAAAAGAAAAATGTAGGAGGCAGGTAGTAGATAGATAATGAATGTGCTTCTTATCAATTAATTCTTTTATGTGAAGAACAAAATCTCTAAAAGGGCCCATAAATTTTAATTTCATTGGATGTGTTGGATTTGAACCCTAAAGATATGATCTTCGAACATTTGCTATGACTGATATTACTCTTTGCATAACCACAATAGTCCTGACAAACCTTGACTTTAATTGTTTGGCTTTTTTGCAGATGGACATACAATGATCCGCTTCGGGCAAAATACAATGCAAAAATGGCAGCCGTGAATGCACCTATAGTAAAACCAAAAGGAAGCAAGAAGTTGAAGGATTGGGAATTGAAATGATAACTAGTTTCTATCCATCATTTGATTGGAGAGAATTTTTTTTTCAATGGCTGGCATGTTTCTTTTATGTTTTGCTTCCTAGCACCTGGGAAACTGGATGTTTGATGAAGTAAAATTGTAAAATTAGTTTCCTCATGTTAGACTGGTAGTGGTATACTGCCATGAATATTATTAGCAGCAAAATATGCATGATTCATATATTATGCTATCTTTTTCGTTTAGTGTAAAAGAAAATTGTTGGCAAGAACAGGGGAATTCCATCCAAATTTAATGAAAACTTTTGCCAAAATGGAATGGGCACAAAGATGTGTGTAGAATTAAATGTCCCAAACAAAAAAGAAAACCTAAAGATCGAAATTGAAGACGTTGGATTCCTTCTAATAAGTGGAGAGAAGCAAGATGAAATCATTAAAAAGCTTTTCTTTCAAGTATTGTATCCCCCAAGATGTTGATTAAAAAACAACCCAATCTTTCATGTATAATGGTTAGACATTAAAATACCAAGGATTAATGAGATTGAAAGACAAGGACCTACTTTGTGGGATTGGGGAGGAGTTGTTTATCATATTCTGTCTGGACTTAACCTTTGAATGTACCAATTATCAATTTGTTCATGTTAGCACACAATTTGGCTATGGTGGAGCATGAGGGGGACAATCCATTGGTTTTTCTTCAAGGAATAATTGATGGGTTATGACTATTAGGCTGGATTTCAGATGTAATAGACTTACCCGAAGCCCAGATATTTGATAAGCTTAAAGCTTATTAAGAATTGAATTGATGTCACATTGTTTGCCAGCTTTTCTTTTCTCTCCCATCCCATGGCAGAAGAATTTCCTGTAGAAGTCAATTCTACACAGCCTCCTCCAGTAATTCCCTCTTTTCTCTCTTGTAATTTTGAGATTTGATTGAAAGTTTGAATTCATGGGGTTAATTCATTTTCACCAGATTTTCTGTTGCTCAAAATTTTGGAAGCAGTGAAATTGATTGGATTGTTTATTCATAAAAAGCTTATTTTTGAATGTGTAGTTTTTGGACGTTGTATGCAAAAGTTCCGGTAAGAAAAGCCGGTTTGCGGCCGGAACTAAGGCTGGATTTGCAGTCTCATTGATAAATAGAAAGTTGGGTATTGGAGCTCCTCTTTCTTTGCATATAGAAGCAGTCAAAGAAGGGGAGGAGCCCATTAGTTTTGGACCTGATGCTGTTCTTGTGGGTTATGGCAATGGTTGGCTGTTGCAAACAGTTACTGAAGTGGATTTTCCTGGTAACTGAGTATTATTAGCTCCAATATTTGTGGTTTTGAATGTTGCAAATTGTGTAGGTTCTGATTTTTTACACTGTTGTGTGTTTCGGTTTAGGTACCAGAAAAGAGGAAGGTGTCGAAGGGATTTCAACACAGATCCCTAATGTAAAGGTAATGAACTTCCTCTAGTATTTCCATTCAATATTGTAAGTAAGAGGTTTTCACTTTTCATTGGAATTAAAATAATTATTGGAAATCCGGAGATTGGTTCTTGCAATCATCTTTTTAAAAGATGACACTCGACAGATTTGAAATTCATATCTCAATACCTGCAGCCTTTTCCTCTAACCCAAGCAGCAGACTCCTTTGAAAAAAAAAAAAAATCGAACTATTGGTGGAAAGTTTTGGTTATGCTTTCATGAGAAAGAACAAATGAATTATTTTTAAGTCATAACCCTAAAAGACATGAAGAGTAAACCTTCTTTAGGTCCCTTTGAGACAGTTAAGAATTACATGTCTCCGGTTATCTTTACTCCTTCAGTTGCATTCCATCAGCTATAAGACTAGTTCTAAATCATCGTAGTAGTTAATACATGGAGGAGGTGCTTGTAAAATGTAGATGCCAAATGGAAAGCCTCCCATGATTTGATGACTACAGTTGCTCCTCCCTCATGATGTATTTGCATCAAACTAATGGCTAACTGTTATTGCTAAAATTTGGGATCATGATTACTGTAGCTTTTTTAAAAGTTTAATTAAGTAGTCTTGTTCATCGTCTATGTTGATATGTTCATCTTTGATGCTTTATCTTTTTCATGCCTTGAAAGGTTTTATATATACTTGGCTGATGCATTTTTTTTTTTAATCTTTGTTTACAATTGGACAGAACTTTGATGGCTTTCATCATCCTACCAAGGGGGCTTCAAAACCAGGGATCAGTTATCTTTACATTGCAAAAATTGTATTTGCTTTTATTTTGATGTTTGTGTTGGCTGCCATTTTCATGTTGGCTCTTGATAGTCTTCCTACACTCATTTTGTTTATCAACTCGTCCATGTAATTCTGTTTCAACTCAAAAATATACAAGTTTTTGGCCGAAATACTCAAATATTCATCACAAGAAGAACTGTTCATAAAAGAACTTTTTGGCCGCAAAACTGGGGAGTTTTGCAAGCCCCAAAGTTAAAGCCAGAGAGAGGGAAATCTATCTTCAATATGCTAAACCACTTACATTTTTGAATGAGTTTTTCCACCCTGTGGAAATATGTGCTATACAAACAAGGGAATGATTTTAGGTCATCAGTACTGCCACAATACAAATACAATAATTGGGGATGGAAACAAAAGTTTACAAGCATACAACATTGAGATTCTTCCCCAAAACTTAAGACTAACAAGCATTGGTGTAAAGGTATACAACATTTTTCCCAGTATTTCTTTCTTTTTCCTTCAGGAGAAAATTTTCATTCATGGTGAAATTAAGCCAAAGAGTCCCTAGAGGAGCGATAAATTTCATCCGCATGATCTGCAGGCACATAGACTGCATCCAGCAGTGAGCTGTGGGTACGACCATAGAATGTATAGACAATAACCCCTATTACGAGCCATATTGAAACCCGAGCCCAGGTGGCAGCCCTGATGATTGGGAAGAACATAATATGAGAAGAATACAAATCATTAGGGTGTGCAAATTGAGTAGCCATTTGAAGGTAGAAACGTTGTGATGAATTCTGGAAGACCAAATCAGGAGCATCCAAAGACCATGTGAAATAAGAGAAACATAGCACTCACCCCAAATTAATGAGCAGGTACACATTGATGAGAATGCTGGCAATTGGTAGGAGTGGAACAAAAGGGCATATGAAACCTGAATGTATATATCAATATTGCCTCATAAAATAACCATTCATGATGAAATCATGAAGATATTGAACATGAAATGGCAAGAAACCATGAAATAAGAGTGCGGAAAGCATACCTCCCGTATGTCCAAATTTATGCCTTGCATCATCTTGATCTATACAGGTAAGCACAATCAGACTAGACAGAAGAAGAACACCACCAGCACCACATAATGTGAACCGAAGAAGGCTAATGGAAGATACCAATGACCATCAAACAAAAAAATGAAAATAAATAATGAAACCATTTGAAAAAATAAAATTCAATGGAAGATAAATCAAATAAGATGAATATTCTTCATATAAACTGCAAAACACTACAAAACTCATATTGGGGCTATTTTTCTATTATCCTATGTCAATAAATTTTATTAAGCAATCCCTCCCCTACTTTTGTTTTCAAGTCCTATAACAATGAAAACCAAACAAAGGATAAGCATTGAAAAATGGGCTTCACTTCTCTCTCCATCAATATCAATCTGTAACACCAGAGCACTGTAAATTTCCTCTCCATCTTCCTCATTTTCATCCCTTTTCTTTTAGATAAATATCTCCATCTTTTATCCTGCATCATTAAAGTTCCCCATCCCCTTTTCCTAATGTATGATAAAAAAAATTACTAATGGTTAAGAATAATAAATTGCCTCAGCCCTCCATTCTATCCTGAAAAAATTACCAAAGTAGTTCGACAACAGTCATGATCAGCCTACCTTGGAAGCCATGAATTTGAAGCTGCGTATGTAAGTGTAAATGCCCCTACACATGTTAACATTATGGTCCACCCAGCAATCTTTCGCCTGTTCTCTTCATTGAGGGTACCTGCAATAATAATTAAACAGTAGAGGATCAATACTTTAGGAAATACCAGTTGATAGAAAGCTTGATGGAAAAAATGAATGCTACAGAGATTCCAGGGTGGACAGGTGGCAAACTGACCCCACAGACAAATTTGAATTTGGGACAATGGAAACTCCATGGTAATAACGTCCACACCAGTGAAAAGCATTTCATATTGTACAGCTTGATTAGAAGTTACAAAATATTCTATTACATTACAAGTTATCATTTATTGCACTTTTAAAATCAAGGAAAAAAACTTCAAGCACATCGCTTACAGAAGTTAGTAACAAAGACACTGTATACTGATTACTAAATTAATTTTATATGACTTGTATAACAAAAGGTGACACAAGGCAAGGAACTTACAGCTGGCTAGAGCTTCTCGTTTTTCAAGAATGGGACAACCAACTACTACATTCTTGTTTTGGAGCAAAGGATGAGAACTATCTCCAAAAGTACTCATTTCAGGGTTTTTCTTACCAATTACCTGAGCATCTCTACTATATCTTAGTGTGATAGAATCAATTGACTCCTGAAGTGATGAAGGAAGTGGCACCTCATCTGGTGGGACATATCTAAGTATCAGCACAGAAATTGCTACCATAGTAAACGCAAGAAGCGTACCCACGCTGACCTGCAAAAGAAGGGCAACTCTTAGGAGCTCTATATTGTAGGCCGATGCATCCAAGGGCCTGTTAATAAACTGGAAACTCAAGCCAGAGGAGCCTAGTTCATGGAAACCATGTGACATTAATTTTTGTGATAAAGCAGAGGCCTCCTTTAGGAAATGAAAACAACTACATAAATGCAGCCTTTTAAGCTGGGAATCAAAACTCAGAAAAGAAATTAGGTCTGAAAACAACCTATTAATGTTGTACTGTAAACTGTAATTAATCAAACGGACTATGACAACAATCAGAGACATCATTATATGGTTATAAAATTCCTTTTATTTTCAACTTAATTAAGAATGGTTCACCACAAAAACCAAATGCACTCAAGAACTAGGAAATTACAAGCATAGCCCACATATAGCTGCATGTATAACTCCACATTCAAATTGATACAATAACAATGTGATCTACACCATGGGGCCCCAAAAAGAGAAAAAATTCCAATCCCATTTGCAAGAAACACCAGTCCTACTTACCATCCCAGCCAATTGTGAAACATCCATGAAGAATGACAAGGTAGCAGCAACTATACCAGTTGCCAATGTGCTCTTGACAGGAACTTGGCTGCGTTTATTAACATCTGAAAAAAAGGATGGCAACAATCCATCTCTAGCCATTGCCATAAGAATTCGAGGCTGAAAACACACAATTAAGGACATTAACATTAAATAATTAAATGATGTAAAAAAATAAGATCTGCGATCAATCATGTAGATTTAGGAGCTATCATTTTATTATTTAGGGATTAAGATAATAAGTGAGTAGGTTGAAGTTCTGAGTTTTGACAACACACTAGTGAATCTTTAGAAGTAATAATTAAAAAGTTGATACATATCATTAAATTATATATATATATATATGCATGCAATCAACAACTTTAAATTAGCACTTAGAAGTCATAATTGAATCCAAACGCTATAAGAGTTGAAAGGGATCTCTAGAGTTAGTAAATCTTTTAACATAACATTGAATTGATTATCCGCTTTGTAGCTCCCATCCAGGGTTATGTTTAGCTCAGTAATTAGTATAATTACAGGAATTCTAATTTGCGACCGTTATTTGAGGGAAAGAAATGACAGAACAATAATGTAATGTGGACAACAATAATGGCAGTTAACATCATATTGATGGACTATTTGCAGAATGCCAAACAATTTCACAGTTATACCATTGGAAACTTGATTACCTGAGGGAGAATTGAGCCCATCAATGTTGAGCAAAGGGCAGTAACAGCTCCAATGGTTATTATGTAACTGAAATCACAAAATGGGAAGGTTCCTCATGTAAAAAGGTTTCAGAAAACAAAAACAAGCACACTTTAAATGCACCAAGAATACTGACGCTGCCCATTGCATCCCATGGCCAGCAAATGCAGAAGAGATAGGAGTGTCAGGATCCATTGCATAATAGGGTACCAGACCAACAATCACAACAGAAACCAGCATGTACAATCCACAACAAATGGAGAGGGCTGTTGCGATACCCAGTGGCAAATCTCGTTGGGGATTCTTCACCTGTCATACATGATTTCAATTTCTTTAGATCACCAGAAAAGACAAAATAACGAGCAAACTGCCATAAGAAAAGAAACCATATACCTCCTCAGCAGTGCTTGCTACCGAATCAAAACCAATATAAGCAAAGAAGACTGTTGCAGACCCAGTAAGCATTCCATCCACCCCAAAAGGAAAATACCTATTCAATAAATAAGTTAAATAACAGATTTTGAAATTATCATATTGAAAAGGAAATACAGCAAGAAATGCCAATTACCCAGTAGGAAGTTTGTATCCAGTCCACCCAGTCTCACAACCCAGAAACACACGCTACTATCACAAAAATCATGGCACATACATTTGCGGTGGGTACAATTCCTTGTGCAATTGTACTCTGCATGAGAGGTCCAGAGAGGTTTTAAATTTGAGGTTACAAAGGACAATGGGTCATCATCCACGCCCACATACAGAAAAGGAACTGAAAATGCAAAAGGAGATAGAAGGCACCTCCTTGATGCCCACACACAAGAGCCCAGTCACAATGAAAACTAGAACTGCAGCACATGGGTCCACCACAATATCAAGCCCGGGAATATGTTGACGAGCTAGAAAAATTGGTAGACTATTTTCACCTCCAAAAAGCAAAGCCTAGATGTAAAAATCAAAAGAAAATAAGTAAGAGTGCCACGTATATAGCAAACAAAAGAAGGTATCTCCCCCTCCCTTCCCCCCCCCCCCCCCCCAAAAAAAAAAACCAATCCAGCCAACGAAAATTCACTAAACCAGATTAGGGGAAATGCCACGAGCAACTGCAGCTCCACCAATTGTATACTCCAGTATCAGAGCCCAACCAATCAACCAGGCAACGCTACAAAATGATATCACTGGTATCATTGGCTGAAAAAATGATAGATCTTCCAGAAACAAGAAAGAAGAAGGATTGTACCATTACAGCAACTTTGTATTCTTTTACCAAATAGAAGAATTGACTATTATTAAAGCTAAATACTAACTATCAATTTTTCAAATTGCAAGAACAAAGAACAACTACAGTAAGAAATGTACAAGATAAATCAAGAAAACTAGAAATTACCCTTCACCAACACAAATGTATGAATAATGATAGGCACTTCCAGCAGATGGGCAACGACTCGCAAGCTCGGCATAGCAAAACGCAGAGAGTGCAGCAGCAATTCCAGCTATTAGAAAAGAAATGGTGAGAGCTGGACCAGAATGCTCTCTAGCAACTGTTCCAACCAGAATATAAACTCCAGCTCCAATTGTTGATCCAACACCTAATCACAGTGCCCCAAAATTCACAATAACCTATCCATTGTAGATATCAAAAATAAAAGCAAAGAAACTGTAACCTTAAAAGTAAAAATAAGTAACATAAGCCATGTAGCCAACCCTCCCAGTTAGAAGAAATAAAATCAACCAAACAAAACAAGAATAATCCAGTGCTTCAAATATATCCATAAGACGAAATGTAAAAAAGATCAGTAATTTACAATAAAAGTGTGAATAACGATTCAAACTCATCATCAAAGACACCTCAAAAATCAACTATAAAACAGCTAAAAATACAAAACCTAGATCAAAATTTCCTCAAAAAGTAAAACAAATAAGCAAATAAGCAAATAAACAGACTTCTATAAGATAAGAAACTGCTAAACACAAAACAAGATCATCAAAATTTTCCCAAAAAACAGCCAATCAACACAAACACAAGAACAAAGCAGCTGAAGACCACATGTTTAGGATCAAATCCCCAGCACCCAAAAAAAGAAAGCTATCAAAGTTTTCTCCAAAAACAGATAAAAAATATAAAACCAACCGAAAAAAAAAGAAAGATAATAACTCAAAAACCAATATCAAATTTTCCCAGCAAAACCACACAAAACCAAGATCAAAATTTTCCTCCAAAAAACTAAAAAAAGAATTTACCAATTGCTATGAGATGAGGAACTGTCAACTCTTTAGCCAACTGATGATGACCCAAACGCTTGGAATGAGCAGAATCCACCTGTTTTCTTCTTACCAAACTCTTTAAACCACCCCATGAAGAACCAAAACCTTCTTTTTGAGAATCAGCCAAAACACCCATCAAGAACTTCCACCCAAAATTATCAACTTTCCGCCAATAATTAACAATAAAATTATTGAATTAATGGTAATTCACAAACTTGGCTTTTGAAAAAAAAAAGCGCTAAAAATTTATGTACAATAAATTTAAAAAAATAAAAACTTTATCAACATTAAAATCTGCTCCCCTCAACCCTTTCAGTAAATAAATTTGGTTCAACACGCCTTTAATTTTTTGTTGTCCTTAAAAGGGAATCAAAGCGGGCAGATTTTACAAGAAAGAAAAACTTTTTTTGTTTTTTTTTTTCTCTCTCTTTGTTAAAATTTTACTTTGCTTTTGTTTTAAGCAATTGAATCTTTGGGGTTTTAAAGAAGTAATGAAACTGCCCACTGCTGGAGAATCAACCAATATTTGGGCTGCCCGGACTTCAGCTTTTCGTGGATGACTATTACTAGTTGCATTGTATTTTTTTTCTTTTGAAAAATTCGTTCTGTTCATTGTTCATTGTTCATTGTATTTATTTATGGAATCATATTAATATAATACTAAAATCTTTATTTACAAAAAAAAAAAGAAGTTTGTCTTTGTTTTGCATTATAAAAAAAGTCTTGAAAGCTGAAACTAATAAGCCTTAGAGCCTTAGATAACTTGACATCTTTCTGAAGAAAGAGAAGAAAATATTTTATACTTGAAAATTACCAGGTTATTAATCAATGATGACAACTGACAAAAGAATTAAAAAATTTTTAGTAGCTGTATTTTTAAAACTTTGGGTAAAATAATAATAATAATTTAGCTCAACTTGGATTGCATTTTTGAAGTTGATTCTGAATCTAATGGGTCCAAATATATCAAATAATACTTTTCTTTTTGTGTTTGTGTGTTGGAATTTTATTGCGTGATGAGGGTTGGGTCATGTTGCCATTCTGTCACGTGGATTGTGTGGGATGAGCCTCTCAGTTTTAGGCAAAAAACTCACATTTGACGGAGAAAAAGATTTGTGCTGCCGTTGGCATGCATTTGAGATTTTCAATCCCTGCAAATTCTAATATGCACGTGCAAAATTACAGCTATGATATGTCAAACTTCGATTGCGTTTGATTTAAGTTTTGGACTATTTTTTTAATTGGAATTATGACCAGATTTAACTGTTCCAAGGATGATTCAAGAATCACGCTTAAGCTAATCCAACCACTTTTTAATATTAATTAATATTCTTATGCTTCCATATTCAAACAATGATTGACAAAAGCCAAGGGAAATAGATTTGTATTGCCACCCACACCAAAAACATTGAATTTCTGTGGATAACACATTGTTTCCATAAAAGGCAAACAAGATTAATGGCCAATCAAATTAGTCCACGTACTAGGTAAAGGTGAAGCTTTCAACCATTTGAATTGAATTTTCTGTAGTCAAATCCTTCCCGCTTTTTAATTAATCCCTTTCAGTTGATGATTTGTTCCCTTTTTTTTTTTTTTTGGGCCAGAGATTTGTTCCAATAGAAAAAGTATTTAAAAGCATGCGTAAGATTATTCTAACAAGAAAAATAATCTTCCCATACTTAAATCAGTTGATAAAGAAAATTATTTCATACATAATCTATGAAATTTCGACATTTCATGAATTGTTTCAATTAACATACAATTTGAATAGGTTGACAAAATCAAGTTGTTATTGCATATAAAATTAAAATTATAGTCGATTCTTCATGTTAGCTAAAAGAAAGCTGTATGTATATAAAGATGCAGGCAAAGTGCAGATGAGTAAGATTGTTGATGGTTGGTATAAACATGCTTTGAAAGAGATGCTTTAAAAAATTATACAAACTCTAAAGCAAATTATACTGTATTTCGTGCACTGCATTAGCATATTAGCAACCATAAGTACATTGCCTCCATAACTTAAGTCACTGAACCAACATACAGTACAACATGAAACATGAAATATCTAATGTTCTCAATGTTAGTTGACAAAACAATGTAAGTACATGTTTCCAGCATCATTCTTCTTGCCTGGGACTCCCCTCGCCACCGTCACCACCTTCAAGTTGTACCCACAAGCCTTGATTTTGTTGTTCCCCTCCGTTTTCCCAGCTTTGTTGCCTTACACTCCGGTTAATCGTATCACCACCATCAGAAAACTGTGCCCACACACTTCGGCTCTTCCCACCACCACTGAATTCTTCCTCACATCCTGCAACTGTCTTGAGGAGCTCTGACTGCAGCGACGGGCAGTTTTCTTTGAGATACTCAAAACCATCCGAGCGCATAACAGCTGCAACAAGTAGAGCAGTCAGAAACATGACAAGTTAGGATGCTGAGGGAAAGTAGCTTATAGCAATAATGAAAACCTTAGGCTCTACTCTTGGTTCCCAGGTTTTCACTAACTTCAGGACCTCCTTAAGAGCAAAAACTTTATAAACAGAATGTGATGAAGTAGCTTAATTTTAACATCATTTGACATGTCAAACTGAAATCCATCAAAATTAAACAACTTAAGAAATTGATCGTTTAACATGCATTTAGTGATGCCAGAGCAATCATTTCTCCGAATGGGCAGCATAACAGTTTCCAACAATCCTATAATCCATCACAGCATCCCCACCCCCCTTCCCAGAAAAAATAAATAAATAAATAAAGAAAAGGACTGGAGGACTCAGTCTCAAAACATAGGGACATAAGAGAATGGCTCTTAGATTATCTGGAATTCTTGATACAAACCTTACCCATGGGCTGTGCCAGGCTTAGGCTTGAAAACATGGCAGAAGCCTGACCTAAAACAGGCAAGTCCCGCAGGCTGCCTGGACCATGAACAGCTAGAACCAAACACAGAAAATATGAACCATCTTATAAACCAAATATTAAACTTTTTTCACATTCATCACAAATCTGAAAGCTGAACAGCATCATCTCAAGACATTTTCGGTGTCTTAAAAGGGAAATATTAAACTTTTTACACATTCATCATAAATCTGAATGCTAAGCATCATCGTCAGACATTTTCAAATCTGAAATACATGTAGTTTATTATAATAGGGACAACACACTTTACTCAGAACACGAAAACATCCAATGATTCTATTTAAACATTAAACTTGAAAAGCGATAAAAAAACTGAAGAACTTACCAACAAGATTTTCAGCAGCAAATTTTAAGCAAACAGATTTTAGATCCATAGCATGGTAACGATCAGCCAGTGCTAAAATATTTGCGACTGAGTTCACAGATATATCCTTGCAGAGTACAGACTCACACATCAGTCTAAGTCTAGGCAAGTCATATTTGTCTGCTGCAGCCAACAACTTTGAAGCTAATGCGTCAGATACAGATGGCATACAAGATGAACTAGTCCCTACGAACTCCTCATCGTCAATAAGAGTGTCTCTGTATATGAAATGCAGCAAGGACTGGCCAAATGCACATTGTAGAGAATGTTAGGAAAAGAAAACAACCAACCAGACGATAGATTCTAGTGCCATATCAAGAGAGCTAACTTGAATTTAAGCGGCACAACACTCAAATCCGAAGGTAAGTGAAATGAGGTAGAAAATACTACCTTAAAAACCTTAGGCTCCATATCTGTAACAACTATTTCATCATTATCTTCTTCCATCCTATTAGTAAATTCAGCTTCAAATACAGGAGATCTAGCAGCTAATACCAACTTGTGAGCATGAAACTTTTCCCCAAACACATTAAAAGCAATATCTGAACCTTCTTCATTTTCCAACAACATGCCAAAATGGGAGCCAATATCAGAATCGGGGACCTGTATGGGGTGAAATCTAGGGCAATCTATTTGTGAAACCACAACACCAACAGTGCAATTTATTTTTAAGCAATCATCCTTGAGGAAATCTGATGTTTCAAGCAGAGCCCGCCGGAAAAAACGCTTGTAACCCCTGAAAACAAAGAAGGCATCGAATTTATTTCAACCCATTGAAAGCAAAAATGAGTCAAGTGTCCAAACTTAGGTAAGCAATTGCATGCAAATTAATTGCTTCAAATAAGATGAGAAAAAAGAACCCTGGCTCCAAAAGAAGGCCATAATTCAGTTATACTGGTGGACAGGCCCAACTTAAATTATGTAAACAGTCCATATTTGCTGTTGTTTATGTAAATGTTACACAAATCTGCCATATTCTATGACGAGAGAAGAAAGAAAACCAGTAGAATGCACATAAAATAGGTAATAAAGAACTAATATTATGATCCCTACTTAAGTTTTTTTAACAATAAATGATAGGTGGGACAATAAAAGACATTAAGGCTTGAAAGCTCTGTGTGAAAGATTACATGCTATGTAAAATAATTATATGGTTATGCAGTACAACTAAAAAGAGAATGAGACAAACATCAAAGATGAATTAGGAGAAGAGATTCCCAACATGGTAGAATTTCATTGATCATAAACATAACTGAGTACTGTGTATAATCTATTGAGATTTCATCTTATGAAGAAATAATAAATGTTAACTTGAAGAAACAAAACATTTTATGCTCCTTAAAGGTACAAAAGGTAGCTAAGAAAAGTTATAGATGGACCCAAGAATTTAACCCAAAAGAAATGCTAATTGTGTGAGGAAAATGAAAGCAAAGATTCTTCCTCATTCTCCTGCTCTCCTTCCTTGCCTTCCTCACAACACACTGACACCAAGAGAAAGAGATAGATATGGCAGTGAAGCTCAAAAGAGAAGAAGCATAACAAGGCACTGAGATAACTTCCTCCTTCCTATTTATGTATAGGCAGAGAGAGAATAACAGATGCATAAAGAAGTTAGTGGAAGTGTAACACCCTAATGTGGATATCATAGATGAAAGCATACTTCCTAAGAACCTTTTTTTCTCCATTTGCTAGAAAAAAAGGAGATAGATAATGCAATCCGGTGCATCAATGAGCTGGTTCAGTATTTTATTTGCACCAACACGTTCTTCTGCTATCTATTCCGTTTGGTGGAACATTTCTTATTTCATTATCCTTATAATCAATCTATTACATTATCCTTCACTGTTTTTGTGTTTTTTTAAATAAAATTAAGTCCATTTTAGTGTCGAGGTAAAGTTAGTTTCCTATCAAGAAGTTTTAACAGAGTTTGCACATGATGATGAACCAAAATTGACCGACTATTTCTTCATTATTCTACCACTTAAGACAGGTGCTTACTTTAAGAATGTTCACTAACAAATTTATTGATGGAACTCTACAAATCATACCAGCAACTTACTCCTCCATTACTATGCAAAGTCAATAACTGCATTGAAGTTTAGTTAGAAAATGTTACCTCATACATGGATATGCGGTTACGAGTTTTACAGTTTCCATCGCTACTAGTCAACATAAATAGCTACAATCTGTTCTAATTAATCCCTTCTATTAATCAACCTATCTAATAATCCCAATTTTCAATTCATTAATCTGTTGTCCATTTTTTCCCAACATCATTTACAAAATTCAGGCAAAATGTCCATCACAATGATTGAAAATAAAAACTTAACAAAAACCACAAAGGAAACAACTATAAATTATCGAAATTATCAAAATTATCCTCAATTTTGTTTGCAGGGAGCAGTATGGCTCAACCCTATAATTTCTACTCATACCAATCCATCCTTACGTCTTGAGCTATGGCCAACTGGAAAATTATCCTCAATTTTCAATGCATTAATCATACCTTCATCAAATCATCATTCCCCATTCACTTCCAATCCTTCAAAAGGATCAACCTCTTTCATTTTTTTCCCTTTTTTTTTAACACTTATACCCCTTACCAACTTCCAAAGTTCTTCAAACCCAACAACTAAAGAATCCAAAAAAAAAACCTAAAATTTCACCAAGAATTTAAAAAATAAATCATTTTTTCTTTTTTTTTTTTAATAATAATCCTTCTCCAACCTTATTTACCTAACATTCGAGAAAATTTCCACCAAAATTTTTCAAAAAAAAAAAAGTTCATCAAGATTGAAGAACACCCAAAAAAAAATAAACCAATAAAAAAAGCAATTTCCTTACCACATGCTTCCCCTATACTTAAGCGTATAAGGGCCACTTTCAAGAGCTCGATCAAAATGGCTATGAACTTTATGTTTCCCTTTCCCACTTTGGTCCAAAAGGGTTAACTCGAAAAGGGCTCTGACATCTGTGCCTTCACTTGCTAAAGCTACGAAAACGGAGACATAAGTTGAATTATCTTCAGGGTTTTTACCGTCAGGGTAAAAATAAATTGCCCATTGGTAATCTCCAACGGTGAAGCTCTCGCTGGCTATGTGTTTGCCTATGCCCATGCCTTTGGCTAAGGAATAGCCTTTGATTGTGAAACGGTGGGAGCCGTTCACGGTCTGGGTTACAGACCGGGAGCTTGTGGGTGAGCCCAACGGAGAGGGCATGGGTCGAGGCGAGGGTTTCTGGGATTTTGGTTGGTTTCTTGGGAAAGTGAGGGAAGATGTAAGAAAGTAAATGATGAAACCTTGTGATTGTTTTGAAGGAATTCTCTCTCTCTCTCTCTCTCTCTCTCTCTCTTTTTTCTTTTATTACTTATATTTGATTTAATTGTGTCGTACGAGACCTGATTCTGATTGGTTCGGCAACATCGGTACGGCAACAGTGAATGTGCCCAAGCCACGAGTTGGCATGAATTTATAAATAATGCATTATGTGTAGTCGGGCTGTTCGTTACATTTAAACGTGATTAAACTAAATAATAAGATACGATCATATAATATAAAAATAATACGAATAAAAAATAAAAATATATTATAATTTAAATTACAATAAAAATTATAAATAAATTATATAAAATTAAAATATATATTTTATTTTTATATCGATATAAATTATTATATAATTTTTATATAAAATATGATAAAAATATATAAATTTTTAATATTTTATATAATATAAATATAAAAATTATCAAATTTAAATGTAATAATTTTAAATACGATAAAAAATATTTTTTAAAAAAATTTTTGATAAAACTTTATATGAATTTTTGGTCAATTTATTTATTTTTTAATTCTAGAAATGAAAATTTGTTATCCTTGATATTTCTTGATTATCAATTCTATTAACAACTCTCATCCCAAAATTATCTCACCATTTGAATTTAAGGTCTCAAAAGTATAAGTGTTAAACTTTGCATATATGTATATATGAATGTAGTTATATTTTAAATTTTAAGGCATAGGATAGTCGGCTCGAAAACTCTAGAAAATATTATAAAAACAGCAGCTTAATGTCTAATTCTAGTTGTGAAATTAATAAATCAAATGAAATAAAGACATTATTTTTTCAATATTATCTATACATGCATTATAATTTTAAACACAAAAATAATGACATGATATAAAAATAATACAAAAAAATTAAAAACAATATAATTTAAAATTTTAATAAAAATCATATATAAATTTATCCAAAAAAAAGAATGCTTAACATATATTGTAATATGATAATGTTCGTATTTTAACAAAACAACATGAATACATAAATTTTCATTTCTATATGTACATTAGGCAGAAACTATTAGCTCAAACAAGGGTTTTTGTACCGCCGTCAAATGCTTACAAGGGGCTAAATTTCCTAACTTCACATGTAAGTGGTCCAGCAGTTAACATAGTTTTCTACTCGGTTACCACAAATTAAATAATCTGAATCGGCTGTAGCTTCCTTCATCTTCATCGTCTGTTGAACTTGATTTGCTTCCCACTGATTCATCTGAACTATCACATGGAAGGAGTTTTATCCTGTCAGCATGCTCAATCATCCAATCGGTGAATTCTGGAGATGCCGCCAATTCTGCAATGGCATGCCGGGTGGATTCCCGACTGAAATCTTCCCATTCTTGCTTTGTGAATTTCTTTCGATTACTCGTCTTGTGAAAGGTTGAATAGTAATCTTGATGATCTCTAGCACCTTCACCAAGAGGTGATGATGCAACCACACCTGCAACGTTAAAAGGAAACATATCCATCAAATAATATAAACCGAAGCAGGAAAGAAAAAGAAATGCCAATCCAAGAAATAATCGCTAGTATAAAGGATCTTTAAAAGAAAAAAAAAAATACCTTTTATAGGAGAGCTAGTCCATGCTGGTGAAGTCTTTGGACTATTCCACAACTTCCTATTAGAATCCATTCTTGGAGACCTACTAAGAAATTCAGCACGCCCATACTTTATCGTTCCCTGCCTCGACTGGTGCAGCCAAGGACTCTTGTCCCCAGAATGTGGTTGGTGCCTACAAAAGCAAAATTCATGGTTCAAGGCAATGAATGAAAACTGAGATTTACAACCACTGGTTGAATTTAACAGTCAATTAGACGATGCGTAATGCTACAACATTTCATAACTTTATTACAGAAGTTGAGTTGGTTATGGAAATCTAAATAAAGTGACTGCCTATGTATTAAAACCTACTCGCATCGCACCAACCACTATGAGAATGTATTAAAGGATATCTGAACAAAATCAGGGGCAGTCTTAATATATTGGTATGAATATTAATTGAAAAGAACAAACTTAACTTGATACTGCACAGCAAAGACAACATAGACTAGCAAAATCATCAGTCTTCCAGCACAGACATGTACATCATAAGCATGAAAAGGGAACCAAAGGGAGCTATGTTTGACTTACATATGACCATTCCTTCTTGCGGAAGTGACAAGAGAACAGATAGCAGAACAAGAAGCCAATGCCACCATTGCCAGCTGAGTATCAAGAGTGCTCTGGAAAGAGTAGGAGTGCAAGACAGGAAAAAAGAAACATAAGATATCACTACACCTCCGACTGAAAGAAATTAATACTGTTCTCCTCCCCAGCTACGTAAATACAGTTAGTCATTAATAACTTTTGTATAAAGGACTATTTTGCTTTAATAACAGTTTAAACATCAATAAGACAATAACCCTTCACTCTTAAGGTATATTGTTAATTGATATAGAAGACACGGCTAAACAAGCAGATGGAATGCAAGTGCATTTACTTTGGCTGTCAGAGCAGGTGAAAAATGGCAGTGCGGATACAGTAAAAAGTAGCCCATGACAAACATCTTAACAAGTCTAGGTGGGCATGCCAAAGTCATAGAGGCATACAATGCCAGGTGCATCTCAATCCAGCTGCTAATCAACAATCTAATTTAGAAAAGAGGCATTGAGAACTTTTAAAAGTGGGATCAGTCAATCAATGTATCCTTCCTTGAGAAATTGCTAGGTTATAACCAACAATCTAATTTATTTGACATATTTAAGAGCATTCTTCTCATAAACCTTTTCAGAGGCTACATCCTGCTTTTAAGGAAGTTCCAAACAAAGAATAAAAAACTTGCTACGTAGCATAGGTAGCCTATCAACTAATACAACCACCATTAGTCAAAGAAGCATACCTGGAAAATAAATGTAGTTGCAATGATGCGCATGGCCCATTTTACAAACTGGGCAACACCAACATCAACGCTTCCATCTTTTGAGATCACAAATTTTCGTACAATCCAGTACCCCAATGCAGCTCCTGAGAGGAGAATTCCAACCAATAAAAATATAGCAACCTGTAACCAAAACAAGCAAAAAAAAAATTTACTAGGTTCACTTTGAAATAACCCAATCTTTTTATAGGAAAAAAAGAAGATAATAACTACAAACAAGACATTAGAGAACAACAATCATAAGCAAAAAAAAATCATAAAGTAATTTATTTCTCCATTTTCTTTCATGGACAATAAAGGAAGGAAGCCATATTAAATATCGTGTGGTGAAAAACTCAATTCTGAAGAGGGAAAAAGGATGGAAAACTGATCAGCTGTATTTAAGGACTTACTGGATTATGCATCTCTTCACTGAGCCCAAAATTGACAAGAATTGAATTAACCAACATAGAGAATTGATGTAAAAGAAAAGAACCAGCACCAAGCTGAAAAATTACAGAAACAGTAAGTTTATTGGCAAGAAAGTAGATGAAACATTAATCAATCAATAAACAAAATGAAAAGAAAGACTCACCACTGATCCATATATAGTTAGATAGAAGATATTTTTCCTTCCTGTTGGCAACAACTTCATTCCCTGCTTGGAAAAAGAAAAGCATACACACAGTGAAATGAGCTAAGACAGTAATTCAGGCATTGGCATAAATTAAAAGTAGTAAATCTTTATGGAAATCTTTAACTAGTAATTCTCCAGGTCGTCCAATCATAGTATCTGAGTAGATGAGCATCTGATAAGGAAGCATAGGAATAAATTTTCAAGAATTCAATTTATGAACTCTAAGTAAGAAGTAAACTGATAGATTTCAGCAACAACATTGCATATAACTGGAACTTTGATAAAGATCCATGTTCTTTAAAATCCAAGGAATTAAAATCAGTAGTAATCAACAGAGTAAGACAAAGTCTTCAAATTTCGTAAGATATATAAGATAGCATTGAGTTTTGGGAAAAGTAAGACAAATTAAGAAGGAAGGTTTCATTGAAAAGCAACAAAGGCATAAGGAAATTGTGGACAAAAGCCAAAATACCTGAAAGAGAAGGATTATAATGACAAGAAAAACACCAATAGCCATTGAACTGCTGTAGTAAAAAGGAACCCAATTGCTGACAAATGGTGCCAACAGCAACAAAACAAATCCTAAAGCTAGAAACACAAGCCGCCATTGCTGAAAATCTGTGAAAACAGTAAGGAATCAAGGTTTAAGATAAAGTTAAATCTCAACTAATTAACAATCACCATCAAAAGAAATATATATTTTCCTTTTAAAAGAAATGCAAATAACAAATAACCATACCTTCTTCAACAGCAACCACAACAGAACCAGAAACATCACCAATAAACTTCACATCAATATATCTATCATCATAAGGTGACATGACAGTGTGCCATATACCCTTTTGCACTGCTTTCCAATCATCATTCTCACACTTGCATAATCCAAGTGAAGCATTCCTGCAAGACTTTATCGGTCAGGCCCAAAATGTGACAATAAACTTTTGAAGAGTGCTCATTCATTACCTATGTGTCTTTGTACATGTGAGGGAATATGAGGCAGAAGGATGCAAGAGAAACAGAAAGCAGATAACAGTAGATTGAGAGTCGATACTTACCGATGAAAGCAAACTCGTATTTTGCTGTGTAATCTTTCTGGTATTAAGACAGATGGAGACAAAGTAACCCGAACAGAACAGGCATAACTCCTGAGTTTCAATCTTGAGTAACCAGATACTTTCACTCGATCACATAACAAAACATCTTTAGAACCACGAACAGATGAATGCCCAGAAAGGGGAGTTGGGGTAACATCTACTGCTGGATTTGCCAAGTCAATGCCTGCAATTTAAAAACCCACGATAGTTGAAAACACCACAAACAAGCATGGCAACAGTGCAAGAGAGAACAAAAACACATGGATCACAGTCATAAATTATAAATTTCCATCAACTTACTGACTTAACCCCAACCCCATTCACAAATTGCATAACACACTGTCTATAAGGTGTAACTAAAAGACAAATTCATAGGGTTCAATTTCTAAATAAAATTAGGGTTAATTACAAAGCACCCACTCATCATTTAATCCAAAGTCCAAACATTTATTTAAACACTAAAATCCTTTCACAGCTATAAGGACCTCCAACCAAATAAACAGCATCCGACGTAAGACATGTCTAATCTTAGTACTTAATTTATATTGGAAGCAACCTTTAGCTATCATCTTTCTAGGAAGGCCTAAAGAACCAGTGGGAAACTGATTCTCACTGATAAGAACTGAGAAAATGAATCAATAATAAAATTTTTATTAAGCAAAGGATACCTTAAAGGAAATGAGAGACTATTAAGTCGGCTCTGGGATTTAGTCTGATTTTTTACCAGCATTTTGAAGAATTTATTTCAAAGATAACAAATATACTAACAGTTTGCATTTCACAGAACAAACCCATTTTATTTTTCACAATAAAAATCAAATAACTAAAAACAGTTTATAATCTGAGCCCAATAAAAAGAGATAGTCCAGCCATAACAAAAAGTAATACTTTACTATGCATAAATTTCAGATTCAAATTTCTCTAGAAACCAAAGAATAGAAGAAATAAAGAGCTAAGGAGGGTTTTAATTTATCAAACCCTAAACCCTAGGCCGATTCTCTTTTTGTTTCGTACATTTTCTCGGGAAAGAAGCAAATTGAAGCATCAAGATTCAGATTTTCAAACCAACTGAAGAACAGCTTGTTAGAAAGACAAAATATTCAGACAAAAAGAAAAAGAAAGAAAAACCCATTTAAATTCTCTAATCCCTATTTTCCTTTTCCCTCAGCAACCAAAAAAGATGCTACAAACAAAACAAAAGTTGAAATCCGATGAGGAAAAAATAAAAAGGGAATGAAAAGAAAGACATACATTTGAAGTCGTTGGTCACGTGAGAAGCACGTGAGGGGAATAAGAGAGAAAAGACGAAGAAGAAGAAGAAGAAGAAGGAGAGAAAAAGCGAAGAAGAAGAGAAGGCCATCGTCGTCAGCCCTCTTCCGCTCTCTTTTTTCTCTGGCTTGTGAAAAGAAACTTAGAAGGCAAGCGCGCTTTGTTTTAATAGCGGCTAAATCTTCGTGTCACTTACGAGTAGCGTAAAATTTTTTGGCCAGCCGCGTAGCGTAAAGTTACACTTTTTTTGGCCAAAAGCGTAAATTTACATTTAGGATGCAAATTATTAGACTTAATAATCTTTTTATATAGATATAACCTTTATTTGATTTTAAATATGTAAAAATATAAAATTATTATATCATAATTTATAAAATATATTTTTATTAAAAATTTAAATTATATTATTTTTAAATTATTTAAAATTATCATATTAACAAATTATTATATGTGATTAAATTTTTTATAAAATTACAATATTTAAATAGAACTAAAAGTTAAAATTAAAACTACTCAATTGCAAAAAATAATTTTATTTTAGTTTTTTAAGATATTATTGAGTTACTTATTAAGTCTCATTAATATATATATATATATATATTACAATTTTAACTTTTATTTAACTTTCGAAAGTTTTAAGAACTTTCATTTAAAATATCCCAATTTTAAGTGTTTTAATGTCTTATTCTTTGGAATTCGTCCTTCCGTTTGCTAAGGGTGAAATTAAAAGAGAAGAAAAATCAATATTTTTATTTTTTTTCAAATTTTAAAATTTTAAATTAATTAAATATTTTTTTTTAATTTTTAAATTTTTAAACAGATTTTTTCTTTTTATTGTTCATCTTTATATTAAACACAAAAATTTTCTTCTTTTTTCATTTTTATTTTTTAGTATTTTTCGTTATATTTATTTTCCTTAAAAATTAAAAAGGATGCAATTGGATAAACGGATATGAAAAAAAGGCCGATAAATTAATGTGGACCCACATATCCACCGTGGAACTTGGACAACTGTCAAACTGCCAAATATAAAAAATCTAAACAAGAAAAAAGGACAAAAAAAAAAAAAGGCACAAAAGATTTTTTTTTCTTTTTAATATCCCACGACGAAGAAGATAGAACCTTCAGTTCTGTGTCTGTTCAAAAAAATTTTCAAACCTTTTTATTTCTTCATTTTTCAAAATTTTGCGTAGATGGGATCATTCACGAGCTGTAGTTTTAGCGCGGTGAGTTTCCGGTCCCGTTGCACTTCAATTTTTGGCGAAAGAGTTGGGGTCCAAGTCTTCGAGTCAAGGAAATTGAAGAGGAATTTGTATTTTTTATGTAGAAAAATAATTTTTTAAGAGAAAGTAAATAGGGAATTCTAATCTCATATAAAATATGCAGGGATATAAAAATATTGGTTTTATATATCTTGATAAGTCAATTTTGAGAAAAAAGTTAATGTTCATATGATAAGCGACTTTAAAATCAGTTTTGGGAGTACTAATAATGTGTAATCGAAAATGGTGAATTTTCATTGGAGTGAACTTTCATTCGAGTAAAAAAAATGTCATGATTTTAAAAAAGAGTTATAAATATTACATCGATTGTATTAAAATTTGTTATAGATAATATAAAAGTCTCACATCATGTACTAAAATTTATCACAGATAATATAAAAATTCACACCACCTTTAACTTGTAAAGTATTTTTGTAAGATAAAACTATCGTATCAAAGGAATCGAAATGGACAATACGAGATTTACACCACCCCCAACTTGTAATGTATGTTTTATGGGACAAAATTATAAGATCGAGAAGGTTGAAGTGGATAATACTTCATAAATTGGTATAAACTGTAACAATTAAACTGATATGAGATGCAGCATAAATATCGTGACAGTTGAATTGATCTGGAACATTGAATGAGTCCATGTCCCAGTTCTAGAGTAGTATAAAGAATAGAGAAATATATTACAGTCTTAGAGATGAGTTATGAATTTCACATTGACTATGTACTAAAGTTGATATTAAAATATAAGGTTTCACACAAATAATATAAAGGTTTACGCCACCTTCAACTTATGAGTTTTTTTTATGAGACAAAATTATGAGGTCAATGGCACCGAAACGAATAATATAAGAGTTTACATTAATTTCAACTTGTGAAATACTTTTTTAAGGACAAAATCATGAGGTCAAGAAGATTAAAACGGATAATATTTTATGAGTTGATGTAAATCGTGATAATTAAACAGATCTAAGATATTAGATGAGTCAACATCTAGATCTTAAAATTGAACAAATCTAAAACTTAAGTTTCAACTCGTGACACAATTATCTACCTCATCTTTGTCTATTTTGGTATTTTTGTCTTTGCATCTCTTAGTGATATCTTATTGTCCATTTTTTTAATCATAGTGATATTTATTACGTATTTAAGTTTTTATTAAAAGGCCTTACCAAAAAAAAGAAAAGTTTTTATTAGAAGGCATTAATTTAGTTGGCATTTTAAAAATAAATGCCCTGCCCCAGTGAATATAAGAGCAAATGACATTTTTATGAGGAATTGAAGAAATTAAATTAAATTAAATTTAAGGCAAACCAAATATGGGATTTTAGTTTTATATAGAATTATCATGTTATAATTGATGTTGCATTTTCATCATCTATTCATATTTAATCGATTATGATTTTGCTTTTTACTAACTTATAGGAAGAAAAATCAAATCGTAGAAGCCAAGTAATAATATAAGTACCAACCAATTGAAGCTGTCTTTTATACATGTACTAAAATTTGAAAATAATAGGAGATGAGATGAAGAGTGTAAAAGTTTGTGAGAATAGAGCAATGACATAATTCTCATGCATTGATTTTTTTCCTTTCTGCAGCCACCAAACATAGCTCCTCTTGGATCAGTCTACAATGATTTCCAAATTGATTCTTTTAAATTGATGGAGCTTCTTGGACCTGACAAAGTTGACGCTACCGATGTAAAGCTAATTAAAGACAAGCTTTTTGGCTATTCAACATTTTGGGTGACAAAAGAAGAGCCCTTTGGAGACCTTGGTGAGGGCATCTTTTTTCTAGGAAACTTAAGAGGAAAGAGAGAAGATGTTTTTACCAAACTCCAGACTCAATTGGCTGAGATCATGGGTGATAATACAATCTTTTCATGGTTGAGGAGCCTAACTCAGAAGCACCGGACCTACGTGGTGGGCCACGTGTTAGCTTTGGTTTGCTGAGGAAAGAGACTTCAGAACCCGGACCAACTACACTTTGGCAATATGTGATAGCTTTTTTGCTGTTCCTCCTGACTATAGGTTCCAGTGTGGAGTTAGTTATTGCATCTCAGGTATTCCATTTATGTAGAAACACTTTGAGATTGCTGCATTGATCTGTAAAAGATAGCAGAAGTTATATTTTTAGCAATTTTCTGAACTTACCATCTTCATGGAGATAGATTATTGGTAATGTCCAATCTTTTGACAGATAAACCAACTTCCTTCTGAGATTGTGAAATATTTTACAGATCCAAATGTTGTTGAACCACCAGATATGGAACTGCTATATCCATTTGTGGAGTCAGCACTCAGCATTGCCGCTAGCATATGGTGTTGTGGGGGTTCTTGTGTTTCATGTAAGCATATCCATGCTTCTTGATGGTTTCCCAAGCCAGTTTCACTATCCTTTCCATTTTAGATCTGCAGTTTTTCAACTATTGGTTAGTTTTTTGTTTGATATATTTATAAAAATTGCCTGCCTATGAGTAACTTCACCAAACTTTATCAATTTTAGCTTTTATTATGCACTTATATTTGACTTTTCTATGTCACGAAATTTGTTGTTGGCAGGAAGTTGGGCACTTTCTGGCCGCTTTTCCTAAGAAAGTAAAAGTTAGCATTCCTTTCTTCATTCCAAACATTACTCTTGGTAGCTTTGGATCAATTACTCAGGCGAGTGTGACTTATTTTACTGTATGGCAACTCAAGGTAGAATGCTATGTCTGGTTATTTAAATATTTTCCATCTTAACAAGGTTCCCTTGTTCAAAGATATGATGGTTGCCTTCTTGTATAAATAGGATATTCCAGCCATACAAACAAATTTTGTAGCTGTATGGACTACATTGAGACTTGAGCAAGAAATTCGTTATTCGAATGTCCTCAATAACTTGAAAAACCTTTGTTTCGTGCAGTGTAACCCATCCTTAGAAGAGATTTAGATGAAAATAATCAGTAGTGATAGATGTGTAGTTATTAAGGTTTCTTAAGTTAAGCATATTGTCTTGAGATTCATCTTTTGATGATTTAAAGTATCTCTCTCCAAACACTCTTCATTCTTGTCTCTCCCCCTCTCAACTCGCTTTCTTCTCGTTGGGGTTAAAATGACCTTCTTTTTGTTTTCTGAAATATAACGTCTTGTTTACATTTTAGGCAGAGCATGGACTTATATGCTTGATTGCCATAAGTTTTCTTTGATGCAATCTTCTATTCAGTTATTTTTTGCTTGAGCTCTCTATACCTGTTTTCTTGGCTCTGAAGAATGAGGAATATCTAATTGAAATATTTTAGCTTTTCAAGTGATATTTTTAAAAGCGCTTCTGGACTCTTACTTCCTGCAGTTCAAATCTATTCTTCCTGATTGGAGTACAAAAGTTGACATTTCCCTTGCGGGCCCATTTGCTGGCGCTGCACTATCTTTTTCAATGTTTGCTGTTGGTCTGTTGCTTTCATCAAATCCTGATGCAGCTGGGGACTTGGTGCAGGTTCCTAGCATGTTGTTTCAGGGCTCTTTGCTTCTTGGACTCATCAATAGAGCAACTCTTGGTTATGCGTATGTCCTTTTGCTTCAACAGCTTTATTATTGACTGAACAGAGTATTATGTATGAGCTTTGATGAAATCCAAGGAGTTTCCACTCTTCCTCTTGTATTAATCTAGAAGATGTAGCGTTGAGGTCTTCGAGATCATATTTTTCATTTTTGTGATGAAAATAACGGACAAATTACATTGTCCATGAGCAGGGCAATACATGCTTCAACAGTGTCAATTCATCCTCTTGTGATTGCAGGATGGTAAGATTAAATTCCTACATTATCTTCTTACTTTAAATCTTAGTATGCATTTTCTTGATGTACTTACCATACAAGTTATCATTGTAGGTGTGGCTTAACCACAACAGCTTTTATATGCTTCCTGTGGGGTGTCTTGATGGTGGAATGGCTGTGCAGGTACCTTATTTTCTCTGTCTTAGAGCTGCATAGTTATTTTTCTTTCTCCCTTACCCCCCCCCCCCCACTTTCACATCTTACTCATAGAGAGAGTACTGAAGAATTAGCAGCTTCAAGCCATTAGCCTTTTCCCTTCCTTCTTCCCATCCTCTAGCTTTGATGATATCTTGGGATAGGAGTGAGAAATATACCATTACCAGGGTAGTTTGGTAGGAAGAAGATAGATTAAAGAGTGAAATCAGGGATGGAGACATTTAGATAGAAATAGAAGAAACATGGAAAGTAAAAGATGAAAACCTATGGGAAGGTGAGATCTTCCTACCACTTCTATAAAGAAATAATCCTTTCATAGCCAAGAGGGGAAAATGCATATCAATAACTTTTCTTTTTATGTTATAGCAGTTGACTTAGTTGCATTTCTATTATTTGCCATAAAAGGCTAATTTCTAATATGCATATCGGTCTGATATTTATAGGTCAACTAAGTAGACTGTTATGCTCCAAGTGATATAAATAAATTGAGATGCAGCAACTTTTATATGATCATGCATGAAATAGCTTTAATAATCTAATTCTAACTATGTACAAGATTTATGATAATTTAGTTACTTTTTTTCAGGGTGCTTTTGGAAAGGGTGCACTCGTTGGGTTTGGTATGACAACTTACACACTGCTTGGATTAGGAGTGGTATGCGCCCACTTTTGCACGATGCATTATAAACCAATTGCCCCTATCTTTTGCATGACCTAGCTAATCTTTTTTATCATATTCGCAGATTGGAGGACCTTTATCACTTCCTTGGGGGTTGTATGTGCTTATATGTCAGGTATGCAATGCCAATCTAAACTTAGTATAAGAAAGTAGAATTAACAATCATCTTTCTTATCATTTTATTATAATGACAAATACTCAGAGGACTCCAGAAAAACCCTGCCTAAATGATGTAACTGAGGTTGGAGCATGCAGGAAAATGGCTGTTAAAGTCGCTACTTTCCTTGTTGTGTTGACACTGCTTCCTGTATGGGATGAGCTTGCCGAAGAACTAGGTATAGGCCTTGTAAGCACATTTTGGTATATATTTAAGATAGAAATTTGAGTAAACCCAATTTTGATATAAAAGCCAAAAAAAATTCAAATGATAGCCAAAGCAATTTTTATGATATGTTCTTGCAAATCATTCTCCTTTGTTTTTTTTTTTTTTCTTGGTTGCCTCATTCCCCTTTTTTCCATCAAATTTCATATTCTTGGTTCCAGAATCAGTGAAGTATAAAACTTTAATATTGTGTAACTTCAAGAAATTTGCCCTATAAGATTTCTCCATTGGTTTTCTTTTGTCCTCTTTCCTGATAAATTTTTGTATATTAAATTGGAATGTTTGGCATTGATCCCATTGAACTATCATTCATAATCCTAAGCAATGACTTAGAGAGTTCATCATTAACAATTAAAAAACGCAAATTTTTAATATTGGATGGAGCTATTTAAAGCCGAGTATGAACAGAGAAAATTGAAGGCAACAGTAAGTGATTTTGTTCTGTATCTGTCAAGTGTTTGCATTCTTGCCAAAATTCGTTTGTCTCAGAAAGTTTTTGCTTCCTGCTCTCTTACTCTACATTTCTTTTCTCAAATAGAACTAGAATTTGTCTGTTCAAATATCACTTTTCTTGAAGCTTGGTTGGTAGTACAAATTAACTCAAAAATCATGTTCTGTTCCATTTAGAAATGGAATTTTCTTTTTTTTTTTTAACATAAAAATATCAGTTTAAAAATAATAGAAAAAATTATAAATTTAAGATTTAAATTTTAAACTTGTTAAATATCATTTTGATTTTATAAACTATCTAAATTAAGTTCCGTGTTCAAATTTTTTTTGTTTTGCAATGTGTCTTAGCAGAAATATACTTGTAGAAATGGACAGTTAAGGTAAATAACGCATATGAATAAGATGCAGTATTATATAAATCATTGCAACGAGAAAAGGAAGCTCCAAATTCAATCATCGCCATTGGCATGTCATCATTCTAAGTTTGGCAGCTAGCCATTAATCCCACACGCGGCGTGCAAGCACATATATTGTGTCCTCCTCTAAAGTCTACGAATAAAATAAAAATAATACGAATTAAAGTTTTGACTATATTTATATTTATATTTAATAAAAATAAATATTATATTTTATATTTTATTTTTTATTTAAAGATATAAATTATAATATGATAATTTTTATATTTTCTATATACTCCATATAATTAAAATATATTATAAATATAAATGGTAAGATCTTAAAAAACAACCCTCCCCAACTACCACACATGAAACGTCTCATTTTTATATAATCTCATATCTAATACCTTGATTAAACTACTATTTAACCTAGTCCTAAATCCTATCTCAAACAATGTTACTCCCTTTACGCATGCCCTTCACACCTTCCGGCCTTTTCCGATTCCACTCCCTCCGCTAACAAACCTCCTCCTCTCTTTTTGTATTTAATAAAATAAAAAAATAAAAAAAGAAAGAAAGAAAGACAGAAAAGGCAGCTTACCACATTCCTCTTGGCAGCCCCATTCACGAGACAGACGTGCCCTCCTTCCATTTTTTCACATAAATGCAACCAAACTCACCACCTTTCTCATTTGCTCTATCTGTGACCCTAATCCTAACAACCCTCAAATGGCCGAGCCACAATGCAATGGCATGTCTGAAACTCGTAGTAAGGGCAGCGGCAAGCATGCCACCATGCTAGTCGAGGCTAAGCCAGTGGTGGCAGAACTTGCCCCATTCCCAGCAGCACCATGTGGGGCATGCAAGTTCTTGAGGAGGAAGTGTATTAGTGGATGCATTTTTGCACCCCACTTTGGCTCAGACCAGGGTGCAGCCAGGTTTGCTGCTGTGCGCAAGGTTTTCGGTGCTAGTAATGTGCAAAGCTCTTGCTTCACATTCCGGTCAACCGGAGACATGATGCTGTGGTCACAATATCGTATGAAGCTCAGGCCAGGCTGTGGGACCCCGTTTATGGTTGTGTCTCAACCATACGTTCTTTTCAACAACAGGTTTATCACATGCATATTTAGTTTCTTCCTTTTTTGTTGGTTTTTTAAATGGAAACCAATTAAATTATGCGGGCTAAGTTGATTTCTTGCTAGCAGCATCTTGTTTATGGTAGGAATAATGTTTTAAATTACATAATAGATTTATTTGAGATTTATTAGATATTATTTGATGAATAAAAAAATTTGTAAAAAAATTTTTTTTAAAAAAATGAATTCTTAATAAATAAGTTTAACTTGCAGAAGAAAAATTTTTAAATGAAAGAAATTTTTTATAGGCAAGTTTTTATAGTTATAAATAGATAAAATTTTTACAGGATTAGGTATGAGAAAAAGATATAAGAGAATTGTAGGATTTTGTTTATGGAATAAACACCTCATAAGAGTACTGGAGATTTATGAGTGTGTGTGTTTAAATGTTTGAGAATGGATTAGAAGAGATTGAGAGGGTCCACATAGGTATGATGAATGAGTACATATAGTTATGTGTTTATTTATGTTGAAAGGGTGTACTTAGGTATGTGTTTGTTTAGGTTGATTTATGTTGAAAGGGTATATATGAGTATGTGTTTGTTTATATTAAGAATATTCCATAGGACTATAGGTGATTGAGAGGATCTATGAGTATTGATTGTTGAATGGTTAATATATTTTGATGTATGTTTGCAATTCTTTACAACTAATAGATCTTATTTCTCATTCGTGGACGTAGATCAATTGGATTAAATCATGTTAAATTATTATCTCTTATATGTTTGATTTATTGATTGATTACGCTTCTACTGACATGAGTTAGATTAAGGCTTTTAACCTAATAAGTAAGTCGCACACACTGTTTCAAAAGGAACTAATGTACATTGAGGCTTCACATTTTTCTCATTGTTTTAGCATTGTGCTAGTGTTACAAATCGAGACTTAAACTCCAACCCACGTGGCTCTAAGACCCGGGTATTCACCCTTCTGGTGTCTTAGATCAGCCTAACTGCTACGGTTCATATCTTTATGAGATATTGTCCACTCTGACTTCACGGTTTTGTCCTACAAAAGATGCCTCATAAAGAAGAGGTGGTGTGAACCCATTTATACCCCAGTGACCCTCTTCTTTAGGCCCGTGACATTCTCTCCCACCTAATTTCGTGATGAAACCTCATAAGAAAGAGGTGGTGTGAACCCTTTTATACCCTAGTGACCATTTTTTTTAGGCCTGTGACATTCTCACTCACCCAATCTCACGACGCCTTTGTCACGAAGGCTAGCCACCCCGCCTACTTCCCTCGAGGCACTTGGCATGGATCGAACAGTTTAAAGTTGACTCTGATACCACTTGTCACGGGTCAAGACTTAAGCTTTGACCAACGCGGCTCTAGTATCACGGACCTAAGGAAGAGTCCTGAATCTCACATCGGACATAATAGGAGGGTCACTAGGGTATAAAAGGGTTCACATCACCTCTGTCTTGTGAGGTGCCTTTTGTAGGATAAAACCTGAAAACAAGGGGGGCTAGAGCGGACAATACCTCACAAGGGTGTGAACCGTAGCAGGTAGGCTAATCTAAGACACCGGATGAATGGATGCTCGGGTCTCGAAGTCGCACAGGTTCGGAGCTTAAGTCTTGACCCTTAACAAGTGGTATCAGAGCCGCCCTAAACCGTTCGAATTACGCCAAGCATCTCGAGGGAGGTAGGTAGGGTGACCAGTCTCCGTGACGAAGGCGTCACGAGGTTGGGTGGGGGAGAATGTCACGAACCTAAGGAAGAGTCCTAAATCCCACATTGAACATAATAGGAGGGTCACTGTGTCACGGGTCGAGACTTAAGCTTCGAACGCGCGAGGCTCCGGGCCCGGGCATTCACCCTTCCGATGTCTCAGATCAACCTAACTGCCACGGTTCACACTTTTGTGAGGTATTGTCCGCTCTGGCCCCCTCTGGCCTCACGATTTTATCCTACAAAAGGTGCCTCACAAGACAGAGGTAGTGTGAACCCTTTTATACCTCAATGACCCTCCTATTATGTTCGATGTGAGTTCAGGACTCTTCTTTAGGTCCGTGACATTCTTTCCCACCCAACCTCGTGACGCCCTTATCACGGAGATTGGCCACCCTGCCTACCTCTCTTGAGGTGCTTGGTGTGGATCGAACGGTTTAGGGCTGGCTCTGATATCGCTTGTCACAGGTGGAGACTTAAGCTCCAAACTCGCGCGACTCCGGGACCCGGACATTCACCCTTTCGACGTCTCAAATCAGCCTAACCGCCACGGTTCACACCCTTGTGAGGTATTGTCCGCTCTAACCCCCTCTGGCCTCATGGTTTTATCCTACAAAAGGTGCCTCACAAGACAGAGGTGGTGTGAACCCTTTTATACCCCAGTGACCCTCTTATTATGTTCGATGTGAGATTCAAGACTCTTTCTTAGGTCCGTGATATGGTCACTGGAGTATAAAAGGGTTCACATCACTTCTTCCTTGTGAGGTGCCTTTTGTAGGATAAAACCGTAAGACCAGGGGGCCAGAACGGACAATACCTCACAAGGGTGTGAACTGTGGCAGGAAGGCTGATCTGAAAAGTCGAATGAGTGGATACCCGAGTCCCGGAGTCGCGCGGGTTTGGAGCTTAAGTCTCGACCCGTGACACTAGAACCTGGGCATTTTGGCCTCTTAGATCAGTCTACCTACCACAATTCACACCCTTGTGAGGTATTATCTGCTTTGGCCCTTTGACCTCACGGTTTTATCCTACAAAAAATGTCTCACAATGAAGAGATTGTGTGAACCTTTTTATGCTCCAATGATCCTCTTTTTATGTCCGATATGCGATTCAGAACTCCTCTTTAGGTCTGTGATATTCTCCCTCACCTAATCTCGTGACGTCTTCGTCACGGAGGCTGACCACCCTGCTTACCTCCCTCGAGGCACTTGGCATAGATCGAATAGTTTAGGACTGACTTTGATACCATTTGTCATGGGTCGAGACTTAAGCTCCGACCTGCGCGGCTTCAGAACCCGGACATTCACCTTTTCGACATCCTAGATCAACCTACTTGTCATAGTTTACACCATTATGAGATATTGTTTGCTCTAACCTTCTTAGCCTCACGATTTTGTCTTACAAAAGACGTCTCATAAGGAAGAGATGATGTGAATCTTTTTATGCCCCAGTAACCATTTTTTTATATCCGATGCAAAATTCAGGACTCCTCTTTAGATCCGTGATATTGATTCAAAGGTCAAAATTAAACAAACAGGAAATCAATCGACACACTCGTGCTGATTTAACTTGGCAAATATTACATTAGAAAAAAATGTATAAATGCCTTGCCTAGACTACAAAATATATGAATTCAATATCAAGGCAAGGCGCAAGTTACTCTCTGCAGAGTTTTTTGTATGAAAATCATATATATATTCAAATATAATTTTGAATCCAAAATTTAATTCAATTAAGAGGCAGGCAATCACATTTAAGAATTGATATCCAACGTATGTAAATTTTTTTTTTTTGGCCAATTCTGAAAAGATTTTATTTATCTGTTTCAGCGTCAAACTTTACTTACAATATACATCACTTTCTGTGACTAGAACGGACACATGAAGGCTCATCCATACCTTCCATGTTCTAGGTTCTCTTACAAAACTTATAGCCTCTAGGGTGGAGCAGGGAACCCATCCTTGCTCAAAATATGAACCAAGAAACATATATGAAGTTAAAATCTCATTATTTACAACTTTTTTCGTTGTCCTTAGACTGTATATCTTTTGTATAAAAAAATATAATCTTCCTTAAACTATGGGAAATTTTAGTTTGTTTACAAAAAAAATAAACACCAAAGGATTGTTCCAATAATTTCTTAACAAAATATTGCTAATTTTGTGAGCTAAAATATTCTTTATGATTGGAAAACTATGTAATATAAAATTATTATTAATTTTTTTGGAATTAAAAAAAAAAAGCATTATCGCTCCATAAGTCAAGTTTGATTTCGTTTGTGGAGATGTGCTTGATAGTTGAAGTGAATTATTATGAGGCTAATTTGTGCAGGTAGTTTCTCTGTAAGCTGAGCTAGCAATGGTGCAAAACCAACTGACCAACAGTCGATTTGCCATGGCAAATGCCCTTCAAAGCTCACAGCAACAACAACAACATATTGCATTGCTGCAGCCAGCACACTCAAAACAATTCCTCAGCTTCCGATAACCATGGCTGATCAAACTACTGCACCTAATTCTTCTCAAAGCATGGACCATCTTTTGCTCTCCAGACCATTCCATGATGACGAAGATGATGGAAAAAGACAACCAAATTTTCATCAATCAAATTATTAACCTGAGATAAACTTCAGGATATAAAGTTTTGACTTTATTAATATAGAAATATGCCATACAATACTCCTCAAACTAAATTTTCAAGTTTAATTTTCATTATCTTTGCGTGTGTGTATATATTGTTATACAAAATTATACAATATAGAAAAATTTTTTCATGTACAAAGTAAGCCAATATTGCGTGAAAATCACGAATATATGTTAATATATATTAATTATAGAAAAAAAATTTATTCTATAAATATATATTAATACTAAAACAATATTGCGTGAAAATCATGAATATAATTGAATTATTTGACATTTTTAATGTAATATTATATATAATCATTTATATTGACATAAATAAAAGGGTAAAAATTGAACAAAAGAAGGTGGCATGCAAGTAGAAAAAAAATGTACATGAAAATTAGAACTTCAATTAGAAAAAAAATGAAAAACTAGAAAAAACTAGAAATTATAGGAAATGATGTGGCAATATATTATTCGTCCGTTCCAAAACTCATTTAACCATCGGGTTATTTAATCACCATCCCGTGTTTTTCTTTTCTTTTCTTAACCAAAGGCAAATAAGCCCGCATTCCAAAGCTGGAATAAAGAAAACCTAGCTGGACCCCTCTTTTGTGAAACACCCAAAACTCTAGCGATGGATCTTTCATAGATTTCCCTCAGATCTCCTTCTCTCTGAAAAAGAAAATTGGTATTTTTTTTTTCTCGTTTTGTGAATTGGATTGGTTATAGAAAAGAAGTAAGGCTATGTCAACCCCAGCAAGGAAGAGGCTGATGAGAGACTTCAAGAGGCTACAGCAGGATCCACCTGCTGGTATTAGTGGTGCTCCTCAAGATAATAATATCATGCTTTGGAACGCTGTCATTTTTGGGTATTACTCATTTTTCTTCCTTTCTTTCTCTTTTATTTGCTTTCTTTCTTTTTCTTTTTTTTTTTCTAATTTTTTGGGATTTTCTTTTTTTTTCTTTTTTTCAGGCCTGATGATACTCCTTGGGATGGAGGTAGAAATTTGTTCTTTTCTTGTTGTTGAATTTTTGAATTTTTAGTTTTACTTGTTATGCTGTTGATGTTTTCTTATGGGATTTGGTTGGGGTTGTGAAATTTGAGCTGTTAATTATGTTAACTTTTTGGGTTTTAGGTGAAAATTAATAAAATTGTATCATTTTGTTGTTTCAGTTCTTGATGATTTAGTCATTGTGAGTTGAAATTTGAACTGTTATATACTTTTCCACATGCATGCTTAAATCAATGTGCAACGATCTTGTGTTTTCTGTTGATGATTATTGTCAATTGATCATTGGTTTTGGCCATAATAGCAATTGTATTTTCTTTACTTTTCTTTGCTGTTATATGCTGTTGAATGGTTGTTTGATCAGTTTGGGGGATTTGTTCCTTGTTACACAAAATTGTTGCTATAAGTCTTGGAATTGTTACATGCAATCTTTGGAATCTAAAATTGTGACATTTCAAATGGTAAATTTTTTGCAAATTTTTTGTTGCTATAACTTGGTGGTTTGACTGTAAAGAGTATCAGGGGCTTGGTTGGTGTAACGGGCTAGGGGTAGCAAGGTTAAGATTCAATAAAATTGTTGACTTTATGGTGTTTATACATTTCATGTTTCTTTGGCCCAAAAAAAAAGTCACGTTTTCAGGTGCACTTTTTATGAGCATTAATGAGGTTTGGCTGGAATCGAGTAAAATGGAGAATTTATTAATAAATGAATATTATGACTTTTGAGTGAGCCATGAAATCTTAATTGCTGGTATCTTAGGTTTCTTGCTTTTTATTGCTAGGTTATTCTTTCTGTTTATCAATTTAGTGATATTTTAGTTTTCTTGCTTTTAGGATAATAAATTAATTTGTATTTCTTATGTAACACGAGGAATTTCTTGAGATTTCTCAGGTACGTTCAAGTTGACTTTGCAGTTTACTGAGGATTATCCAAATAAGCCTCCAACTGTCCGTTTCGTCTCACGAATGTTTCATCCAAATAGTACGTACAAGATGTTCATTGATTTATTTGTGGCCTGCAAAATGTTTCTGTTTTTTTTGCTTTTGCCATCTAATAATCAGTCATGGGTTGATCAGTCTATGCAGATGGGAGTATTTGTCTGGATATTTTACAAAATCAGTGGAGTCCCATATATGATGTTGCAGCTATACTCACCTCTATCCAGGTGCAGCATTCTATGCCTTTTTACCTTTTTATTTTCTTTCTGAAGAAATATTGTTTCTCATCAATGGCTTCCCTTAAACTACAGTTTTTGCACTCAAATTCAAACTTTATGAATTATCTATGTCTTTAGATGATTGTTTTTCCCCTTTGCACATCTGTTTTCCTGCAACAAAATATGTGGCCTTTGTTTAAGTTGAGTCTATCATAACTATCAATGCCGTGAGTATACTTTTCATTGATATCTTGGTCATAAGAATTGGCTTCTTAAAGTATATCAATCCAAAAAATTAATTGAAACTTTTCAGTTATTAATATTAATATTTACTTAAGTCATTTGGTGATTGCTATATGTTTATGTGTACAGTGTTTATGTTTTTTTTTTCCTTGGCTAGTCAGTGTTTATTTTTAAACAAAAACAAAAAAGATAAGAAAAATGAACAAAAGATGTGACATATAATACATATAAAGAGATTTATTCACAACCTAGGCACTTGACAAACATAAAAAGTTTATAAAGCCAATGGTTGGACTCCCTGAAAATAATTGTACTGTGAGGAAGCATGATATAATCAAACTTTAATAAAATAAAGCCTTTTGAAAGGACTGGAGAGGTTGTGAGGATAGCGAAATATAAACTGCAAATACAGGAGGATACATGTGCGGTAGGGATATAATGCTGCATATGCAGGCTGTGGTCTATGTACTGTGATTTTAATGGTTGGCCAATTTTGGGAATGGGCAGGCTGTCATGTTCCTCCTACCTTTAACTTTTGTCTATTTCTTCCTTTTGGCTGCCCTGTAGTTTTTGTCCATGAAAAAAAAAGTCAGTAAGCAGTCATTGTCAAATTTCTTTTCATATGTATGAATGTCTCACTTATTTAACAAAGTGCTTGTGCATGGTGACCAAGGTTAATGGAGGGGGTGGGGGTTCTCCCTGTATACGTGAAAATTTCCTGTCTTTATTACATGGAGTAAAGATGGTAAGATGCTAATAGTGCAATAATGTGTAATCACTGGTAACTTTGTTTGACCTTGGGTGTCACTTATCAAACTCAACAAAATAAAAGAGTGACTGATATATGTGGCCTTAGCGGCAGATTTTGGGTGTAACCTTTTATATGTTTCAAAAATTTTGTATAATGCCTGTGGACTCACTTGTTCAATAACTTTTTACTGGATAATTGAGGAAGAGGTCACAGTAACAATGGCCTGAGCTTTTGTTCTGTCAACTCTCCATCATTTTCTAATCAATGGAAGTAATAATTCATAATGTTGAAAAAGGGTGCCTATCTATTATGCCTTCACATTGAAGGGAAATATACAAGATAGTGCCAAAAATAGTTAACTACGAGATAGAACATCTAACAAATTCAATTGTTTTAAAATCTAAGGTATATCTGTAGAAGCCAGCTTTCTAAAAGGAACTTGAATATCAGAGAAACAAGAATCAAAGAATTAGTTCCATATTGTGGGAGTCCATGTTGTTTGCAGATTCTTGGACTAAACATGGGAATAACATGCATATCTTTCCTCTGTGGCTCCTTTTTAGAATTTATTGACTTCTTGCATTTCATATTTCTCTTTTCTTGTTTTTCCTTAGTTGATGAATACCTCTCATATCCTTGGCATCTTATTCATTTACATCTTAGAAAAAACATGGGGGTATTTGCACCTGTGACTGAATTTGTGTAAGTTAGGCTAGCCCATGTCTCTGAATGAAGTATCTCAGAGCTATTACTTTCTGAGAACTTATACTGGTTGTTGAGTTGTTATCAAGGACCGTCCATCTTGGACATGAGAAGTGGTATTTAGTATTATTAAGGCATTGCATTTGAATACTTTAGCAGCTTATTTAACGCTGTCCTCCAAATTCTCAAGCACATTCTGTATATCCCCACCCCCTTCATCGTGCTTAGGACTACATATATGAAATATACTACATTCTAGACAGGGCAAAAGCTTCCTCTTGAAGAAAAGAAACATAAATATTTCAAGCCTTTTTATTTAGTTCTTTTTCTCCTTTTAAACCATGGTTCAATATTCTTGTAAGTAGGCAGTCACTCTTAAGTCTTTGCACATTTTGGCTGAATTTACTTAAGTTGTGATGTGCACTATGATCAAGTTTAATACTTGTTACAATGGGTGAAGAGATCTAAGATGTTTGCTGATCCTCACAACTTCATCCTGTGATCAGTCATTAAATCATTGCATTTGATAGGAATTGCTTTGAAATTCATGAATAAGTGCTGGTGTTCTGATCAACATCAAGCAAGCATTTTGAAAGTGGGCTTTAATCAGGACTGTTGTATATAAATGATTTTTCTCGTTAATTATCTTTAAGCAGTTTGATTAACTCAGTTCGCTTTGCTCAAAAGTCGAGGAAATGTGATCCTGAAGTTCTCAATTAACGCAAGATTAAACATGCTAATGACATTATTGTGCTTTTGCCAGTCTCTGCTTTGTGATCCAAACCCAAACTCTCCAGCAAACTCTGAAGCTGCTCGCATGTTTAGTGAGAATAAGCGGGAGTACAATCGAAGAGTGCGTGAAATTGTGGAGCAAAGCTGGACTGCTGATTAAGTGCAGTGTTAGCGACAGTAACCTGCATCATTCTGTGGAAATAACAAATGCTGGTGTTAGTGCTGGTGCTAGCCAAAGCATCTTGTTGGGGAGTGGATTATATAGTCTGGTTTTGAGTGCATTGTTTGGGGTGATTTCTTTGAATGACTTGATTGCTGCCTCTTAGACAGCTCTGGTTTTTACTGGTTTCTTGATGTTGAATCCTATTCTTTCCTCATCTTTTCTGTGATGTAACTGAATATCTCCTTTTAGCGTCTGTATATGAGTATCTTTCTAGTACTAATGTTCTAGGCAAGAGAATTCTTGCCTTATTTCCAAATTGGAGGAGCTTTTCATTGTAGTTGAATTAGTGAGATATTCAAACAATATGAATGGCTGCTAGGAACTACTATTTTCTTTACACAACTGTGCTCGAACTCTTTTTGACCACACACAACAGAGTAAACAAATAAAAACCCAAGAATCTTATCAACCATACGGTCACTCAGGGACCTCTTCATCCACTGGCACCAGGAGAAAAGAATTTCCAGAACCGGTGTCGGTTTCTCCAAGACGCTAGCCTAGACAACTAAGTGACACGGGTTCATAGAAACTAGAAACAGCCAAATGTTTCACACCAAAGCTAACCTTTAAATTCCGCAAAGCGACATTTAAGATTTTCCTTCTCAGGAAAAAGGGGAATTATCACAAACAGGTTTCTTTCTCTTTTTATACTGTGTCACTGTTCCTTTTTTCCTTTCTCTTTTCCCCTTAGAGGGGTCTAAAGGAGAAGCTATAGCTAGATTTGAAGAAGCAAAAGGAAAAAAGGATGCCTGCTGAAGATAGAAGAACCCTTTATTCCCCATAATTAATTCAGACTTGCCATGCAAACAGATTTTAGAGATAAAGCTTTGTACAGTGAAGTTTATCAGATTTGGATAAATAATGGATTGAAAAGTTTATGGTATAAATAAAAACATGTTAGGGCACATTAGCACACACTGTAATGTAAGCTTTTGCTTTCTGGGTCTGGTAAACTTTGGCTTTCTATGGTCCTGTCCTGTCTACTTTGAGCTGTGACCCCACTTCCATGCCTCAGTCTGTTACCTTTGGCGCCTTTCTTTTTATTATTATTATTCTTATTATTTTCTTTCTTTCTGCTTTGCTGCTTGACTAAGCACCACTTGCATTTAACTTCAGTAGTAAATTACACTTTTCGAAATCCAGTTTGCTCCATTATTATAAGATTGGTGATTGGTTACTGGTGTGGTGACACTGTCACCAGTTTCAGCTTAGTACTGGTGCAACATGCCGACAGAAAAGGCAATCTTTCACTTCTCTTGTAAAATTATAAGATTTCAGTTTCAATCTCAAATAAATATTAATATATCATTATTGAACCATCATACTTCATACAAGGCTAAGAAATTAGTAAAATCAACAGTTTTTTTACTGCTCATTACCTCAATGTGGAACTTGAAAAGGAAAGTGCACTAGTACAGATGCTCCATGTCCAATAACAATTGCAGCCACTGTTAGATGAAGGAATTGTTTTGGCAATTGCAATCAAGTGCTAGAATTATATGCTTCAGCAACTTTCCTAGAACTCGATACCCTGGAAGAAAGATGAGTTTGCCTGGAAATGTTCAGTAAAAACATGTTTGGCTTAGATATAGTAGCCGACCTCAGTATCTTTACTAATGAGTGGGGGACAGGGTAAGCATTATTTCACTCTCCACACAAACCCAAAGAAAAAGCATCAAAGAAAAAACAGGTTTCAATTATTGATCAACACAGCACAGATCAGCAACATAAATATTTTATGTCTGAAAGCTGGCTTGAACCCCACTTGTCAGAAATTTATTTGTAAACTGAATCCTATAGTAATGAATAATAAAGAACATAAGTTTTTTTTGCCAATTGCAATTAGCATATGGTATTATTAATATTGTGATATCAAAGGCATCTGCCCTTGTCATGCTAGCCAGACTGTCTCCCAGTCTTAGTACTTTCAATCAAGTGGATTAACAGTTGGGGAACTTTCTAAAAGAAATCATGACCCACTTATTAAAGTTATAAAATGAAGTAACAAAAGCTCACAATGGATTTGAGATATGTAACAGGTTGTGGGAAACAATGTCCCTTTCCTTTTTTTTTTTTTTTGTCTTTCTCTTTCATTTCAGAAATATTTTCCTAGAAAATTTTCAAACTTCAAATCCATTATAACTGAAAGGTTATTGGTGATAGAATTTTTATTGGAGATCGAGTGTTCCTAGTGACCCAAAAGAGACTTCATCGTGGCCACAGATTTGGACCCCAATCCTGGCCCTCCTAGTGGACAAAATGTCAGGGCTAACCCTGGTTTTTGCATATAAAGTTGTACATGGCAAGGATAGTTTTGGCATAACATGGACGAAATTTCTGAATTTGAGATTGGAGAGCATTTATGCTGAATGCTAAAATGAACAAAGCTTTGCAAGTTAAAACTTAAAAACTCACTTTCTTCATGTCATGAATTGAAGACTAGAGAGCAAGTTAGAACTCTGCAAAAATAGAACAAAAGAGATGGGCCACTTGTTTTTGGCCCATTTTAATTTGCAAAACAAAAGATGAAAAAGCTTGCTTAAGTTCCATGGGATATTGATGGGTCACGAAGACGATAGTATCAAATGGCCCTGCTAAATACAGATCTCGATTACAAGAAAAGACAGGCATTCTTTTCTTTCTTTCTTTTTTTTTCCACATTTTTTTTCTTTTTATTTTGCAGACCCAACATTGGAAAATAAAAATAGATGATAATTTCTCTTTTCTTTTTTTGTCTTTATAGAATTTCCAACATCAATATGAAACTTACATGTTTCAAGTGATGTGAATGCATGGAACGGTCCATGCTCCATAACATAATCGACCAATGGATTATATTTTGTTTAATATTTATTTAGTGAAGGATTCTTATACTTTGTGAGTAAAATAGCTTTTATTTTTCAAATTCAAGATAAATAAATTATTTGGTTCCTTAAATTAAAACAAAATATATTATATCCAATAATTTAAAATAAATAATTATAAATCATACATTTAAAATTATTTTAATAAACGACGACAAATTCGAACTTAAAAATTTTTCGTATCACTTGTGATTTTATTAGTAAAACATCTATGATTAAGTCTAAGGTAAAAAATATTTGAAAACCACACTGACCGGAGGTGGTTTATATGGAAAAGTTATTCTCGTATTCCCATTGAAATTCAATGCAATGATAACACAATAGCCTTCCCATCACGCTATCAACCATCACGACCCTTCAATCTTTTCTCAAGCCACAGAAAATCTTTCATAAACCATTAGCCCAACCTGGCAAACCAATAGTTATTGCCTATAGTTTCCCAAGAAAAACTGTGTAACCATTTTATAACAACCATCCAAAACACTGATATTCCCAACTATATCTACAAGACATGATTCCAAAGCACAAACGAAATAAAATAAAATAAATATTTATCTTACAAAAGTGGACCTTTGTAAGAAGGTAATTATCATTAGATGTTTATAAGCAACTAGTTTCTATAATCTGAGGACCCAAGTACTCAATGCCATCCATCTGTGAATTCTCTGGCACTTCAATTTCTTCCAACCATCCAAAACAATCACTCTCTTCTTCACTCACCGTAGTTTCCCCATCTGCACGATCCAATTGGCAACTACGTTAAGCTTTTTCGTTTTTTCTTTTATACAAAATAATCCATTCTAACAAATGCCGAGATTTGAATCTAAAACTTACTAAATATTGTTTTTCATGGGAAAATCCAATTTTTATCTTACTAAGATGAATTTGTAATCAAATTGCAGTTTCTCATGCATAAAAATTACTACAAAAAAACATATGTAACTGATAGAAAAACTTTTTTCGCTTACTTGAGAAAGCTGAGTATGGGATGTCTTTGTAATAGGAGCAATCCCGATTGTCTTGTTTAGAATAAGGAGGACCAAGAACATCAAGCACTGCACAAGGTGTTATGGCTGTGAATTGATGGATATTGCCTCCTGTTGTAGGATACAACACAGAGGTGTCGCATGGCGCGGTAAAGACACTGTCGGTATTCAACCTTGCCAATCTCACTGAAAAATTGAATAATCACATCAAGGTCAAAACTATGTTCCTCTTTGAGATTCAAATTAGTGCATGCACGCATGCAAGCAAAGCTAGATTCTCACATTGGGAAGGTGGCATAGGGTCTTCAGAATTGACAGGATCAACCCAATCATAGGATTTTATGTGCATTTTCCCTAGTAAAAGCTTGCTAAAAACAGTCATCCCTGGATGGTTATGGAGAGGGATGACAGCGGTTGCTGGGAGAAAGAAAATGCACAACTGCACAATAGGAAAACAACAAGAAATTCAACCAGCAGATAAAAATCAAGTGTGTGTGTGTATGTATTGTGGTATATATATATAAACAATTTCACCAAATAATAAATGAGAAACAGCCAATAATTTCTTACCGAGAACTCAGCACATTGGTATATAGTTGTATATGTGACCCTTGGAGTAACTTTCACCGGACCCGTAGCCTTAAAGAACTCTAGATTTCTGCTAAGCCCAACATGTTCTGGCTTCATCTTATCTACCAAATAAGAATGATAAAAATCTCATACACCATTCAAAAGGAGATAAAATATTTAATAAATATAGATTACTTAGAGATATTAAAAACTTGAAATTTAACTCAATTGGTTTACATAATCATTCTTAACAGGTGACTTTCACATGTCTTGAGTTCAAATTTCGGTACCCCAACCTCTTCCCCTATTTAGACCAGCAATGAAAACTTGGGTGCAATATTAATGCCATTGCCGGTAGAATATAATCCTAAAGGTAGTCATTTTCCCCACCTCACCCCCCAAAGAAAATGCTTTTTGAAGTTTCGTTATATATTCAATTAATCTGGATCATATTTTTTGATGCAGTACTGAGGTAGATAACATTGTCACCTGGGATATTTGAAAAGGGACAAAGATTGCTGTGGCCTAAAGCTAATTAAGAGTTTTAGAAAGTTATTATAGTTTTTGCAAGTACTATAGGCCTTCGGTATCCACTCAAGAGGCAACATGTATGCTGCGAATTTAGTGTGTGTGTATATATATATATATATATATATTAGCATTAATTTTTTTCGGTTGCTTCAGCCTTTCTTTGTTAAAACCGAGTGCAACAGACATATATTGAATCTATCCATAAAAAATTTACAGATGCTGCAGCCTCTTTGATTTGTCAAATAAATAATTTGGTAATTAAAGTGTTTCATGGGATAACATACATTGATAATACTATCACCATAGTGATTAGTGACCAAAGCCAAACCCAGTTTTTAACAATAATCAATAAAACAAAAGAATTCTGATAACTTACCAAGAATGCTGCATAGCTTCTTTACATCAGAAGCAGGAGGAACAGTTCCAGGGCCTTTGAAGACTTCCCTACAAGAAACAAATAGCTCTTGCAGTACTTTGGGAACTCTTGGAACAACGGACTCTTTTCTATTCTTGTATCTGTTCTTCTTGATTGTCTTGGTGACATATCTCACCTTGTTGTTCACATGCCTTATAGTCATAATATCCTTTCTTTGCTGCACCAATCCACCAGCCTCCACCATCATAACAAAGCTTTTGTTATCTCTAAAACTTTATTCAATATCACTATTTCCATACAAACCCCAGACCCAGAATTCAACACTCAACCAAATAAAAAAAAATTTTATCAAAAGAAAGTAGTCCAAACCCAACGCAGAACCTCAAAAAACACAAAAAATCCACTAAAAAAAGTGTGTAAATATTGGTTCGTTTGAATCAAAAAGATAAGCATTGATATTGGCAAAGAAAGAGAAGGGAAAAAAAACTGTGAAAATTGTAGAGAACTGTAGGTAGAGAAGGTGGTATATAATGGTGGGAGAGATGCAAAACCAGGGGCCATGAAGATCAGGCCGGGAAAAGTTTTATAGTTTTAGAAAGAAAAAAAATAAAAAAAGCAAAGAAACAACGGAAAGCTAACTTGCCGCCCAAAGATTGAGAGTTGAAAACTGCCCGTGAAGCCACCCCCAAGGTTTTTTTTTTTTTCCTCTACTTTTGTTTACATGTGATTTCATACTAATACATGTTTTTTCTACTATTGTTTACGTGTGATTTGATATTAATACATGTTTTTTTTTATAGATGATTTGCTATCAAGTACTGGGTGTGATCTTCTCCGGTTGAAACCTCAACAAGTTATAATTAAAAATTTTTAAAACAAAGAATTCGAATGTAATACAAATGTCACAGTCATAAAAAAATATTATAAATCTTATATTAGAGTTGATTATAAAATATAAAAGTTTACATTATTTTTAATTTAAAAAATATTTTTTGTAAAATAAAATCATAAAATTAAAAAAATTAAAATGAATAATATTTCATAAATTGATATGAATTATAATAATTAAATTAATTTCAAATATCAAATAAATCTATACTCAAATTTTAAAGTCTCGTAAACGTAAATTTAGAGCTTAAATCTCATCACAAAAACCGCATAAGCCTAAAACTTAAGTTTTAGCCATGACACAAACACTTAGTATATATTCAAGTGTAGAATTTATAATTCCGAAGTTAGTAATAAAAGTTAAAACCTGTTTTTTTTATCAAATGGTTTTCGAGCTGTCAGTGGTAAGGATGAATTAATCGTTTGAAACAGACTAGATTCACTGAGATCGATTGAATTGGTCAAGTTGATAATTTTCAGTTTCCTAAATTAATAATTAATAATTTTTTTAATAAATTTTTAAATATATTATATATAATTTTTTTATTTGTATTTTTATGAATGAAAAATATAATATTAGCAAAAAAATTAAATGTGAGTTTTATGAGGTAAAATTATTAATAAAAATCTTTTAAAATATTATTTTTCTATCCGTTCAAATCAATTTTTAATTTTTCAAAATCAAACCGATTAATTACTCATAGACCATCAAGGTGTAGAAGGAAATGGAAGGTTGGAAATATTCGTATTAGGGTCCTCAATTGATGGCTTTCATAATTGATATTATTTGATGTAACTTATAATTTGAAATTGGATTATGACAAAAAGTTAAATCACTATCAAAACACATGAAATAAATTTGGAATTTGAATTATAAAAAGAGAAAAGATAGTAACAACAAAATTAAAAGAATTAATTTTTATATAAAAAAATGGTTTTTGTAATTCGTATATTAAAGTGTACAACAACATTGAGAATCTGATGAAACAGATTAGAAATCTTCTTCAATTTGTACCAATTTTATTTTATTTATTCGGCCTTGCCATGGCTGTGCATGACCAAATTAAACTTACCCAGACCCAAGCTAATTCACCATTTTCTGCCTTTGTGACCGGCACAGCCCCACACTAAAAACGCCAACAAATAAAATATCTCGTCTCTTCGTACACTGTGCCTGCGTGATCGTTGAGTTTATAATTTCTTTTTTTTTTTTTTGAAAGTATAAGTGAGAGAGAATCTAATTTAAAGATAAATTTGATAATTTTAAATATAATATGATTAATATATAAAAATATATAAAAAATAAAAAATAATATAATTTAAAATTTTAAAAAAATTATATAAATTTAAAGAAATAAAAAAATTATGTACTTAACTTATGAAAATAAATTTGATATAACAATTTTTTTATATTTTATACGTATTTAAATAAATAAATATATAAATTATCAAATTTATTTATCAAATTATATTTCAAATCTTAACTAAAATATATATTAAATTTAAAATTACTGAAAAAACTGTTAGACAGCTAAAATTTCGAATTTAAATTTCGTAAATAAAATATTAAATTCTTTTCGACAAAACCAATCCCGTTGTGTGCGTACAAATTTTTGTCTGTTGTAAAGAATCCTCCACAGGCTGTTAATGAATCATGATCACCAATCTAACTTTTGTTGTCCTCTCAGCTTCGAATTTACTTCTTTTCTAACAAAAGAAGAAAAAAAATCTGTTGTACTCAAAGTCGAAGACGTGTCAAAGAGAATTTGAATACATCTAGCCTTTGGATTAACATTTTAAGACTCAAATTTCAAAGCTGAAGATACCTCAATGCAGGAAAAGTTGTACCATTTGCTTTCTTAACATGGTAAGGGATCCGGAAAACTAATGTGGTTGTGCTATGGAAGGAGGAAAAGTGAATAGAAAGAGTGAGTCAGCGGGTCCACTTCCAGAAGAAATAAAAAATGATGACTGTCCAAAACATCCCCACATATTTGATCCATCTATCAACACGGTTTCTTCTTTCTATGAGCCTCAAGATGGAGTTGGAGAGCCCCACTGTGTTTACAAAAACAAGACGTTGGTTAAAGAACTTAATGGAGTGGTGACAGTGATCACAATAATATCAATTCATCAGCAACTACCATTTTCTCATTTCAAGGATATGATTTGACCTATCAACAATTTATGAGAGATCACTTACACCAGCAATAGAGGAATTCTATATGTTACATGAATTAAAAAAAAATGAAAAAGATATTTCACAGTCTAAACTTGCGCACTCAACTATAAATTAAAAGCTAATACAGCACCCAATAACCAATCTAGTCTACAATAACACTAATATGAGGTAGAACACTACAGATGTGCCAGCAAAGGACCTAATTGTCTATACCTTGAGGCGTTCTCTTTGTTCTGCTTATTTTGGAAAGGATGGCTGTTCCAGTTGCAAAAGATTCTTGTAACATCCTTGACGAGTTTTGAACTGATTGCATTGCTTGTGCTTCCTCATCAAAAATTCTCAAGACATGAGCTGGCTCTCCATTCTAAATAAAATGTAAAACGAATTCATCACAAACCAAAATCAGCTCCATTTCCTAGAAAGAACATGATATATCACATTAACAAAATTGCCAACAACAGAGCAACAAAAAAGGAAAAAGGTTTAAATACAGCTCTCTCTTTTGCTTCTAATATTCGTCTCTCACTCCAAATAGAATACTTGTCCAAACTATCTCTCAAAGAGTCAGTTTCTTCAGCCACTTGTTCCACTTTTCTGTTTGCAATATATAAATAACCTCGAGATGTATGACCATCAGACTAACATGGATATTGAGTTACGATAGTCTCAATAGGCATGGTAACTGAAAATCATAACAACAGCTCTAACTTGTTTCAAGTTTCACCAAAGCCAAAAAAGAACACTTGCGCTCCTCACAACCCAGTAAAGGAAAAATCTAACCAAGTAAGCATACGTATAAGCAAAAGTTTTTTTATTAAACTCAAATATTTGACAAATTGACAGAGCAATCGACTGCCTATCAAGAACCTTACATCAATTAAGTCTTGAGCTCAAAACAGTTTTGCTTCTAAATATTTACCCGTTACTTTGATTTTACAGGACAAAGTTTCTTAAATGATCGCTCTTTTCAGATTATTTATTTTGCACACAACCTACTGTTTGATTTTGAGTCTATGAAGTATGCAATTTGACTTCTTGTGAAACTGCAAAGCTGCCTTCTATTGCAATTTATCAAGCTTACCATCAGTTGCATCACCCAGAAACCATTGACTTAACATTCCTTAAAGAAACCTGAACTTCATCACAGAGCTTCTTATCAGTGTTCTTCTTTTTTTTCATTTTTTCTAGTTATGAACGCTATAACCGAACCATCAATATATTAGAATGGATAATTAACAAGGATAAATGGCAATAACTATATGTTGTACAGACCATCTATGCCAAATTCCTATAAAACTTGAAACTAAAACATGCAAGAACGCAAAATTTTTAGACATTTTGTTTTATAATTTGTTCCTCGAATTCAATAAAAACAATCAGGAAGAATAAGTACTTTCGTAAGAAAGATTACAAGAAAAGAAAAAATCAAACGTTATCCACATCTGCGCATAGCGCGTGGATCTGAGAGATATCTTTTTTGCGGCGAGAGAGAGTTCGGGAGAGTCGAGTCCTCCACCGCCGGAGGCGGAGCTCTCGAGCCTCTAAGCTTTCGATCCCATCCCTTGCTCGAAGAAGCAGCTTTTGGGATGAGAAAAAAAATTTAGAAAACCGAAAATTCATTTGAAATTGTGTTTGATTCGATTCGAATACTTTTTTTTTTATCGAATTAAATTTAAATATTAAATATATATTATATTTAAATCGAATTTAGAATAGAGAATAAAAAAATTTAAATCAAATGAATTAAAATTAAAACTCAAACTCAAAAATTAAAACTCGATTGAATTCATACCAAATATCAAACCGTAAATTAAAAACCAAACTTGAACTCAAATTTTTTATTATATCGATCGCAACTCCACATCATTCATTAGATCATTTACTACCACGTTCGTAGAAGCATATATATATATATATATGAAATTTGATTTCCTTATTTTTAACCATTTAATTTTTAATAATTTATCAAATAATTTTTGTTTTTGTAATTTTAAAAAATATTTCATGAAAAACTTTGGAGAACAAATATTTATAGTGCGGTTAAAAATTAAACAAGACAATTATTATATCTTTATCATAATTATTTTATATCAAATAGGAATAAAATATATAAATTATTATATCAATTTGTATTTAGGCAAACATTTTTTGACATTATGCAACTTTTTCATTTGTCTTACGGGATTATGATCTTACCATTGGAGACTCAACGGAAAGTAGCACTTCTATTCCCAGATGCAGGAAACGCTTGTCGTCGTCTAGCTTGAGGAAATTGTTTAGTCCCATCGTCTATTTGCAGTCGACCAACCGCCGAACTTTTCTTCTTACCTGCAGAGTTTACTTGGCTTCCTGATTCTTCCTCTGCATCTTCTTCTCCAAATTTAACCTGTTGCCTGGCTGCTTCATAATCAAATGGCTTTATTTGCAAAACACCACTCGGTTTTTTTGACTTCCTGACTTTAACCACTTTCCTGTTTTGATTAATAGACTGGAAGTTTGTAGATAAATCAGATAGTGACATAGCCTCACTCTCATCTTCATTTGTTTCAGAGGTAGGTGCCACAAGACTCTCCTCCCTGGGTGTATCAGTGATTTCTGGGCTACAGACACCATTAATTGATTCATCTTTATTTGAATTATCTTCCAACAGTATAATATCTTCCGAAGTCGACTCAGTCGCTACCACAGTCTGAGGCTCTTCAGGTTTTGAAACTTGTGATACTCTAGTTGGCTCCTTTGTTGCAGGTTTGGACTGCTCCTCTGTACCCGAAAATGAATGAAATGAAAGATTCACTGAAGATCTGATCTGCTCCAACTTACTCTCTTCCTCCTCCTACATAACAACAAACAAGTTAGCAAGGACTTGCTTTCCATAAAAACTGAACAAACGAATCAAAACTACAAAGAATCTCAATGATACAGGAATGTGACAGTCAAAACTATGTACATGGACTGCAACTGTGCTCCTTGACAAGTTTCACTGTCATGAAGCCGAAAGCCAGCAAGTAGCTAAATAACTTGCTAACCTTTTTATTAATATCAAATTTCTTCTTTGTGGCAGCATTCCCCAGAAGTGCCCCAAAGCCACGGCTTGGTTTCTTTAGAACCTGAACAGTTGCTCCAGTAGCCTACAGGGAAGAGATATTTTAGCCAGCAGCTACTCATGGATCACCATGCATCTATGAAAGGATTAACTTACAATCTTTGCTGAAGGTGGAATAACTGTGCAAGCATTTGCTTCTCCGCTCTGCCCTGAGAAGGCAAGACTTTCATTCGTGGACATTGAGATAACATTCACATCTGGCTCCAAAGGGAATCTTTTTTGTTTTTTGTACGAGTCAAGTCCAGCAATACTGCTACCAATCTTTAACGATTCCGCTCTATGTTGAAGAGAAGCAGCTTGTGCATTTACCTGATCAGGTCCCCCCATGCCACCATCTATGATTTCTATTATATCATTTGCAATTTTCAAGTCTGTAGGAGTCTCAGGAGGTAAGACTTCAGCTTCCTCATTAACTGCTACATGTTCTGATGCCTGTACAGTAGAATCTTACAGTCATCTCAACAAACAGTAGGTATAAAATTAAATATTTTCAACCCATTGCCAGTTCATTGAAACAAACAGTAATGAGGAAGCAGCACAAAGAAAGGTATAAAATCAACATTTTTTTAACCCCTTCTTGCAACTAACATAGAGTTTCTAATGCCTATTCAATAAGATTTTATCAGATTTCATATCATTGAATAAATTAATCAGCACATTCTTCACTTTTGTAGTTCTAATTGATAATCGTATGATGAAAATTATGAGTTGACTTGGCCACCTTTGTTATTTATGTCATATGAACAGCCTACTACAACTCACAATGCTATTTTTTATTTCTAGACGATGATCACAACCCATTTGAGGACAGAAAGAAAAATGTAATAATAACAGAAATAGAATAGATTAACAAAATATATTAACAATACATCCGGATTCAGGATTATCAAATCAGTGTAACAAGTCTTACATTTAGCACACGACCCATTCTAAGTTGTTGAGCAGCGGCTTCAAATGCAACAGCATTCTGCATACAATGCTTGATGATGCTAACAACTGCACCAAGATTTCGCTCCACATATGGGTGTTTGGATTTCAACAATGGACGTAACTTGCTAGCAGTTACAGGCATTTGCTTGGCTTTTCCCAGTAAAAAAGGTAAGAACTTGAGTAAAAAATACCAACAAGTAGTAGAAAAAAGAAAGATGTATAGAGGAAATTAAAGTAAAATTTAGCAATAAGTAGTAGAAAAAAGCAAGATATGATAAAACTTGAAAAGTTCCTACCTATTTCAAGAAGTATTTTGTTTGGCAACACATAACCAGTACTTTCATCCTCTCCACGGGCAATAATGTCTCGCCATTCACAAAGCCCCTGTAAGCCATTTAAGTGATACATATAAGCCAAAGGAATGGATATCGTCCATCTATTTTTGCTAATAAGGCTTCTGCACATCAAATCTGTCTATCTGAATTGAAATTGGACATTTCTTGTGGTTTACCAACCAATCTATATGTTATGTTAAAAGTAAACTAAGGGATATATAGATATGAAAAGAACAAAAACTTACAGCAACAATTGCTAGCTGCCCAGCATTGAAACCAGCCCCCTGCAACCTATATCAAATTGCAGAACAAATGCCATTATTTAGTTTGAGTTTACCTAGGACATTTAAACATTCATGCAACCATGCACTGTGTAGCCTCAGCAAGTAACCAACCCATATACATGGAGATATGAATTTTCAGTCAGCAGCTCTTTCTCATATAGTTGCATGCATACATCAGAACTTCGTTTATAGACCTGCTAGCAAGAAAACTTTTACTAGTAAGATAACAGTCAAAAACAAATACCAGAAATCAACAAAGTTCACAAATTCATACATCCATATAAATTTATTTGAAAAGGAGAAGACCCAAAGAGCAAGAAGCAAATTTCGAAAAAAAAATCAACAGAATAACATGCACGCCATAAAAATTTTTCTTAAGGAAACTAAAGCATGGTATCCCAAAGAAGCGGATTATATTCATATGGGAAATTAATCAACACATAAATTTCAATAGATAGCCTCAGCTGTAGATTATTCATTGAAGCTTGAACAAAATAGAATGTCAGAAGCCAGAGGAATATGGAAAGGAACAGAACTCTTCCATGAATGTAACTAAGATTAAGACTATTGAAATTTCTTAGCTTCTTTTCTTCTAGAAGGGTCAGTAATAATATGTGAAATGCCATGGCTAATGTACAAAATGCTGTGAATTATGATTTATAGCATCATACCTCTACCAAAGGAGCATCACAATGTTCAGATTCCCTAGGCATTGACAATAACTTCATTCTCATTAAATCATAAATGTACAGCAAATAGTGTGTGTCTTCTCTAGCATATCTGACATAAAAAATAATAATAATAAAAGGAAACAATTAGTTGACAAACAACAACGAAAATTTCCTATTAAATATCTGCAATCACAGAACCTCGAAACATTCTTCAAGCCTAGAGAGAGAATAGTATGTTAGTATCAAAAGCACAATCACAAATTAAAAGCAAAGCGTATTTACTTCATATTGATGCAAAAATCAAAACTAAACTACTATTTACATCTTTGTATTTGATCGTTTCTCTTATAAATAAATATAAAATGTCAGTAATGCTGATCTTATAGATTTGATAGTTAAGTTTTTACTTTTCCGATAGTTGATGGGTTGAGTTAAGTCTTGACTACAAGACTACTTTGAGCACAGGAAAGAATAAAGATGGCAAACCTAGAACAAAAGTTTGTCAACTAAACTAGACATTCTAATTTACAGGTGAAGCAATTGCTTTATTTTCTACAAAGTTGTCAATAGCAATTAATCATTATGCTTAACAACAATGCAAGTGCAGCAATTAGACATTATTTAATAAGACAGAGAGGAAACTGAAGGGTGAAATAGAGAAGACAAAAGATACATGTTCCAAAAGCAATGTTACCTGAGCATTTCATCAGGAAGAGGACGCAATCTCCAATCTGCGTTCTGATATCTGCAATGAGTTGACTAATCAACCTTAAGGAAGATAGAAATGATCAAAGAGGAGACTAGTAGAAAGTTTAAAGAAGAAGAAGAAGATCTAATGACTTTAAAAAAAGACCTACTCTTTGTTGGCAGTAACTCCACAAAAGTGTTGCAGAAGATACTCCAAACTATTTCTTTCCATTTTCAAGACCCTTGAGGCCTGAGAACCATGCAAAAGCATCAGTCAACATATTGGTAGGAGTCCAACAGAAATTTTAACTTCAAATTCAATAACAATCAATTCATGTATATTCTAATTGCACTCAAAACTAAGCCTAAGCACTTCCATTAAGACAATGGCACTTAAAGTACGGTAATTAGGCTCTACGAATCCGCAGTAGTTACTAACATTTCCAAGCCTATAATGTATTTAACTTCTTCAATAAAATCCAATTGAGATTAGCATCATCCTAATCATGCACAAAACTGGTTAAGTTAGTTCAATCGTCTAAACCACAAGTACATAGTTGTCATGCATAGTTTTAGACACCAATTTCCTTTCCCCTAATTTATTGTCACGTGCTAATTAACCCTAATAAATAATTTCATAGAAAAGTTAGCATGGTGCCACATAAACTTAAATTCTTAAAATATACCAATAAAACCAAAAATTTAACAGAAAAATATCATATCAAATACTCAAGTTCATAGAAGTAGTGGATTGACAGTATAAAACCTGTCCAGTGTCAAAGAGATTGCATAAATATATGCCAAAGTCCCGTTGAAGCCACACGATATCTCGGTCTGCTCCATGCATAACCTATGTGAATTTAGGATATCAAACAATGCGATAGGCCAAAAAAAAATCATAGCTATCTAAGAGACCAACCTTTTTCTTGGTGGGATCCTTGAATACTTCCCTAAGATATGGACCAACATGAATTCGTAGCTTTAAAGTATCTACAACAAAATCCTCGGTTCTGGTAGAAATTTGCATCAAGCAAGTCAATCCTTGAAAAGATCGATATTGGTTATGCTCCAAATCAACCTGAGAACAATTACACAGAGATTAAACTACATGCAAAGAGGTAACATAGCATGAGAATAAAGAAAAATAAGCCTATGTTTGATGCATACAAAGTCCAGAGAAACTGGTAGTCCTGATACCAGAGATACATACAACTTTCTTCAGACCAGGCAAACACTTCATTCTATATCTTACCATGCCATTAAAGCGGCACAAGCATCATAACATAAAGTCATATGAAAAGTTCTCAGATTTTTACCGCAAATTCATTCACACTGCGTAATTTAGCTGCTAACTCCTTTAAATCTTTTACTTCCTCCACCAGCTTGAATGGGGTAGACTCAATTGAGGGGGGTTTTACAGGCTCAATACCTGCCATATCTTTATCCACAAAATCCATAACAGAGAGCTTCTCCTGTAAAAAGAACAAAAAAGAATGTTTTTTCTCTTATTTTGGCAGGCACCACAAATTTACCGGAGATAAACCAGCCAATTATTTAGAAGCTATTGTTAAACACAGTTGGATGTGTGTAAGATACTGAGTTATAACAACAAGAATAAAAGTGAAAATTTTATCACATCCATATCTAAATATTGTTAATAAGGTAGCTCTTAAGAACATAATAACATTCTTAAAAACAATTGTGGCGTACCAATCTTCTAGTTACTATTAGTGACATCACCATTTGCACTGATAAAGAAAATAAGAAAGATGACCTTGATTAAAAGAATGTCTTCCTACAAACCAATGCGCATGACAAACACTATCACCTCAATGATCAATTTTACTGATATTCTTTTTTATTCTTTTTTAACCATGCAAGGTGCCTTAACTTTAGAAAAATTTAAAAGACAGTTATATTCACCTTATTCATCTTCTTTGTTTCCATGGGATTCATTTCTGAGCTATGAGAACGTTCAAATAACTATTTTAATCATTCTTGCTACTTCTTCTACAGAAATTCATGACCCAGCAAACATACAAATGTATTACACCACTCAAAAGCTAATAAAAGCATCAAAACTATGCCCCAACAATGCTAATAAAGGCATTCCACTTATGCCCAATTATTCTAATCCTGCTCACAAGCATCAAAACTTCTAAACACACATCAAATTATCCAAAAAAACCGAAAATGCTATGAAATTATCCTATAAAATCCAAAATTCAACACTAATCCAGTTATCCAAACAAAAACAGAAATATAATGAAAGCGTATACAAAACAACTATAACATACAAAATTGACTGACCCCCAATAAAAAACAACCTAAAAAAATATAAATTAAACAAGAAAAAACCAACCAGTGGATGAATAAAACGTTGCCCATCCTCACTCCTCTGCAACCAAACATGTTCAAAAGGCTGATTCGAATTATTCACAAGTATATTATACTCTTCCTGAGGCTTTCGTATCGTTGGTATATGAAATGGAACCTTCGCTTTCCCCGTCGTCCCCGCAGCCAACGCCCCTTTCTTCACCTTCACTTCAGAGTAACTCGAAGACCCACCTTTCCCACTTATTGACTCACCAACCGCGTCACTCATTAACCCACCATCCCCTTTCTTCTTTTTCTTCCCGTAAACCAACTGGAAACCACTATTGTCCGGATTCGACCCGATAAACCGACCAGTTTCCTCTTCTTTCTTTCGAATCTCTTGAAATTCGTCAATGGAAACGTCAAATCGTTCCAAGATTTCGTCGTTGATATTAACGAGCCAATCATAAGCTTCATCATCGGCTATACTTTCAATGTTGTGAGGGAAATTGGTCACTCTGTTGGGGCCCCAGGTTTTAGCCGATGAGCCGATGGATTCGAGCAAAGAATCCGATATTTTAGCAATTTGATCGATGGGTAGCCTGAAATCTTCGAAGTTATTAAAGAAATGAAAGTCTTGATTGAAAGGTAGGGTTCGAGAAGAGGAAGACAGTGAGGAAAGAGAAGAAGAAAGAGGACCTGAAGCTACAGTTTGAAGAGATTGGTTAATTTTTGAAGGTTCAGATTGGGCTTCCATTGCTGTTGGATCATTGTTGTTCATGGTTTTACGGTTTTGGGTGAAGAAGAGTTAGGGTTTTAGCGATTTTTTTCACTTTTCTTTTTTTTTTTTTTTAATTTCCATTGAAGGCGACAATAAAAAAATTAAAGAAACCGGAAAAAAAGGATGCTGTATTTATGTCGTAGAGTATGGCAGCTTTTAGTGTTGATCACGTGACTTTGCATGTGACCTGGAGCAAAAAAGAAAGAAACGGAAAATCAATTATATTTCATTTGAATGTTAATTTTGCTAATTATTTATATTTTCAAAAATAAAAAACTCAGAAATAAAAGAAAATACAAATGTTTGGAAGAATTGAAAAATTAATTTTCATAAAAAATCAATTACATAATTTATTTTGTTTTGTTTATCACTTTCTTTTTCTCTCTCTGTTTTTTTTTTTTTACTTTTTTGAGATATATTAAAAATTATTTTAAACATTTAAATTTTTTTATATTTTAAAATTATTTTTTACTATTTTTATGTTTTGATATAAGAATTATAAAATTTTAATGTTAATATTAAATATATTAAATTTAATTTTTTTTAAAAATTTCATAAAGATCAGTACCGCTTAAGTTCTAATTTATATATTGATTTTGTTATAAGCTTAAACAATTGCTTTTTTTTTTCGTTTTGAAAAGAACAAGTGAAATCAACGTCAATCTAACTTTTTTTTAACAAGTGACGTTCTGTTTGTGAAGGGGAAAAAAAAAAAAAAAACTTCAATCGACTGCCGTGACCAAATACTCGGCTCAATTTTGAAGCTTTATCTATAAGTTGAGCGTCCCCAATACTTCCTCAAACCCTCTGTGCCTTTTCTTTTTATTTTATGCAGGGTTTTAAATCCCTCTTCAATCACCCTCAAACATGAGGTTCTCTACCTTTTTCTCTCATTCTTTCATGATACTTATAAAATTCCCATATTTTTCTTTTTACTGTTCCATCTTGCTTTTCCATGCCAAAAGATGTTTTAAATATTTGACCCCCGAGAGAAAAAGATCTGTTATACAAAACTAGTTTTGATTTTTACGAATCGTGGTTTCAATGTACAAAATTTGTTTCGTAAAAAAAATGAAAAAAGTTGTAGTTTTTATAAAGATTTGGCTTAATTCTATTTGGTTTTGCTTCCGTTTGCTCCATTTTGATGTTGGTTCTTCATGATTCTAACTATACTTTCCTGGTTTTTTTTTTTCTTTATCTCTTTTATTCATTCTAGATAATATATTTGTTAATTCTGGTTTCCTGATAAATTGGTTTAAGTTACTTTGTTGCTTTGAGGTTTGCTTGAAAATTGATATATTGATTTCCTGATATATTGCTTAAAGCTGTTTGTTTTCTTTGTACTCAGTCGTCACCCGGAGGTTCTTTGGGCTCAGCGGTCTGATAAGGTATATCTGACGATCTCTTTACCTGATGCAAAAGACATTTCTGTTAAATGTGAGCCTCAGGGTTTGTTTAGTTTTTCTACCCCAAGGAGAATCCTTCGATTTCATTTTGGAGCTTGAGAAGCAATTCAAGTTTTTGGAAGAGTTTTAATAATTGTAGTCCAAATTTTAATTGGTTTAGAATTCGAAGTTTAATTCATTTATTTTATGTCATCACCTTTAAAAGATAATATTTAATGAGTTTGAAATTTAAATTATAGCATTTATAATTTTTTATTTTATTTTTAAATTGTGATTTTTTTACTAAAAAAAAGTTTACTTGGTTTAGAATCATGTAAAACTAAATTTTAAATGATTGTAAATTTTAAGTGGTTGTTTATACGTTAATATTAGGCAATTTTCTTTGGAACAGAAATTTGAAAATTTTTATATATTAGAATCTTTGATACCCAAAACGTAACATATTTCCTTTTCTAAATTTAAATTAAAAAAGACGTTTTGAAGTCTATCCTTTTTCCAAAAATCTCTGAAAAACAATCAATTAAATTTATTTATAGCTCTCTTAGAACATTTTTAAAACACAAAAATTGCATTATGTGATTATCTCAAAAACATAATGAAAATTTTTTTCATTCATAATGTACTAGTTCACCCATGATTTAATTATGATCTTCACCTGCCATAACATTTTAGCTCATGATTTAATTATGATCTTCTGATGAGTAATCTTGCATGATAAAAGCTCTTATATATCGTTTACAAGTTTATCATTGTTAAATTGACATGATATTTTTTATAATATTCAGTTTTTTTATCTTTTGATCTAATTGGTGTTTGAGATATTGGAGTAAATTTAAATGCTATCATCAAATTCACTAATATTTTATTATTATTTTAGGTGTGTTAAATCATTATTTAAAAAGTCTTCTTTTTTATTTTTATTTTCATTGGAGAGGAATGGAATAGATGAGTTTTTTAACATTATTTTGTGTAAAAATAAAAAACCTTTAATTCTGAAAAGGTTATAGTAACTTGTACTGTTGCGGAATTATTAGAACTGGAGATAATATCCAACCTGTTCTTCAAAGTAAGACTAATCGCGGATTAAGAGCACTAGATAATTCTGATTGGTTTGTAAAACTACACTTCTGAATTCATTTGAATCTATTTTTGCTTGACTTTATTTATCCGTTAGAATCTTTACTCAGTTTATTTCAACGTTGTTTGATCTTTGGCTCTCATTACCTGGTTTGACCATTGAAGCTTTCACAAAGTCTAAGACGGAAATTCAAGTTTCCGGAATAGTTTCAATAATTGTAGTCCAAAGTTTACTTGATTTAGAATTTGGAGTTCAGTTCACTTATTTCCTGTCACTATTTTTAAGATCAAACTATATGAATTAAATTTGTTTGTAGCTCTCTTAGAATATTTTTAAAACAAAAAAATTACAATATGTGATTATTTCAAAAACAAATGAAAAATTTTTTCATTCATAATGTACTAGTTCACCTGCCATAACATTTTACCTCATGATTTAACTATGATCTTCATCTGCCATAACATTTGAGCTCATGATTTAACTATGATCTCCTGATGAGTAGATCTTGCATGATAAAATTCCTTATGTATGGTTTACAAGTTTATAATTGTTAAATTGACGTGATATTTTTTATAATATTCATTTTTTTTTTCTTTTGAGCTAATTGGTGTTTGAGATATTGGAGTAAACCTAAATGCTATAATCAAATTTCACTAATATTATTGGGGATTTCAATATCCAGCCACTACAACGAGTTAACAATGTTGTATTCTGTCAGTTGAAGCCAATGGGGCTCTTGATTTTTGGTTCAATCAATCCAAAACAGTTCAATACGAAATCAGTCGGACCAACTTGATTCGATCGGACCGGACAAACATTGGGTTCCCGAATCAACTGGTATGTACTATGGTGACTTTTGGCAACATTTTCCTTTGTTTTATTGCTACAATATTTGTTTATAATATAAATTATACACGGCAGTCTTATGGAGAAACCTAACCTGTTACAAAATCTATGTTTAGACAAAGAAGTGTAAAACCAGATTGATAGACAAGATTTGGAGTATTTACACAAAAATGCTTGCTTATATACATTTATATCAAATAAAAAAAGTATAATTTTATTTAACTTCTTTAAAATCTAACGTCAAGATCCACGAATGTAGATGTGATTGTTGCTTGGCAGATCTTCATCTGAATTTATGCTGCAATTCCAAACTAATTGCGATCACTAACAAGAATTCCTTACCTCTATTTGGGTTTAGCATGATAATTCACCTCGATAATTCACCCATGTAATAACGTTTTGTAATTTGTAATATATAATTTAATAATTTTGTGATAGTATTCGCATTATCAAATTTATATCAAAAAATATTTTAAAATAAAAATTATTTGTTCGATCTTGTTAATTATCATGTCCCCTATTACTAGCTTCGTAAAATCCTTTGTTATAAAGGAATTGGTCATACTATGTAAATATTGATTGGGAACCCAACAAGTAAAAAAAACCAAAGGACAACAAATCCTACTAAGAAAGCAAGCTTGACCCATTCTACAATGACCAAGCATTTTACTATTTAAATTTTCACTATAGTTGGCCAAGTAAATGATAGTGTCATTAAGCTCTCTAATCCCCACATATTTCTTTGGTAAGTACACTCCCTCAAATGTACTTTATGCAACAATTTTATAAGCATAAAAAGCCCATAATAAACAAACTTTTGTGACAATTACAATTTAGCCAATTAAATAAAAATCAAACTTAAAATTTAATTCAATTGATTCATGCAATTAATTTTAAAAGATAACATTTAACAGGTTTAATCATATAGAATTTGAGTTTTAACATTTGTAAATTTTTCTGTTGTTCTCAAATTATGATATTTTTCATATAAAAAAATTAAATAGAGATTTTGTCTGCCTAAATTTTTGGAGCAATGCCATTTGTTTGCCTTGAAGATTAAGAAAATAATTAAGAAAAATGTGAAACAACGGAATTATAGAAATTTCACCTTTGCATCATTGTTTTCCCCTTCTGCTTATAGTAATATTTAAAGAGACAAGAATGAGAATGAACATCTCAAATCCCTGCGTCTGGATGTTTTGTTGGCCTATGGCGTGACTTGGCAAAACAAAGCAAATTCTTTTGGTAGTATTTAAAGAGCAAAGATTGTCAACATCGAATAGGAAAATATAGATTTAATAACATATCCTTTTTGCTTGTAATTTATCGTATTTGTACTATTATTAGTAACATTTGGAAACTTATTTCTTATGAAAAACTTTGATAGCTATTAATAGATGCATTTCTGTCCTTAGTATCTTGTAATTTTCCATTATTCGGTCTCATTTTGTCCACACGAAATCATCCACTTCGGTACAAATATATGTTGAATATTTCTTACAGAGGCATATAATAAGTTAATAAGCATCGTAACACAATTTATTTTGTTTTCAAAAAAAAAAATTATAATCTAAAATTAGAAAAGAAAAGAATAGATTATAGATGTTAAAATTTATATCAAAATTAATAGAATATTACTTTTTAAAGATAAATATATAAACTAACTGAATTAATTTTTGAATTCAAAATCAATCCATTGCTTTGTTCTCAATACACAAATGCATTATCTGTTACTCTCGGCTATGCCCATGCTATTATTCTAGCCTTGAAGAGAGCATCGTAATAGATGTCAACCTAAATTTTTCATGCCTAGGACCCTTTAGACAGTAACAAAAGATGTCCCGAATCA